AAGACTCATATCTGAGATCACAAATTTGTATATCTGGTGTTGAAGTGACAGAAATATAAAAATAGAATTGTTCTGTGGTGTTTAGAACATACTATGAGGAGTGACACTAATGCTAGCATAATTAGCCAGCTACAGATGACACCCACCACAGTACAGGCTCAATTTTAGTAACTGATTTTCAAATACCACCCATTTAGAGGACAAGGACTCATATATCAGATCACAAATGTAAATGTCTGGTGCTGAAGTGACAAGAAAATAAAACATGGAAGTGTTCTGTGGGGCTCTGAGCTGTAATCTGCCAGGTGACGCTAATGCTAGTGTAGTTATCCAGCTACAGGTGCAACCCACCACAGTTCAGGCTCAGTTTCAGTAACTGATGCTCAAATAACACCCGTTTAGAGGATAAAGGATCTGAGAGCACACCGAGTGACAGAAAACCGAAACTGAATCTGTTCTGTAGTGTTTTAAGCTGTAGCCTGTAGGGCTAAGCTAGCTCGAGTGTATAGTGCCTACTACCTCAGTTTAGGCTCAGTTCCAGCGAAACAATGATTAAAAAACACTAGAGGATGGTGGTTGGAGTGACAGATATGTGTGGTGTGTTCGCAGCTTTTAGCCTGTTAGCCGTTAGCCACTCTTTCGCGTAGTTTTCTTTAGTATTTCCTGGTTCTGATTCATCAGCACAGCAGATGGAAATAGAAACTGTAACCAGTCTCACCACCACACCACCGCGGAGCGGCGCAGTTCCGCACTCACAGGCCCTGAGAACCATTTGGCTCTAGACTCAAAAATAGGCCTTGAGTTGCCTCGAGGTAAAGCAGAAGAGGGTGAACTTTCTACTCTATCAGTCAAATGTTTTTCCCTAAACCTTGATAACACAACAAAAGTAAACAGTTTAAACAGTGAGACTTTTCACTTAGTGGAGTTACACACGTCAGTTCTCATTACATTGAATGGGATCTTTGCCAGGGTTCTGTACAGCTTGTCCAATCTTGCAACAGCACCTATGAAAGAACACATTTGTGGCGGAGCATCGGGGGGTCAAACTGTCAAACAGTTGTAGGGCGCATGATGCGTTTGATCACACCGGTCTGAACTGTGTAACAGCCAGGGGAGATTTGTTAGAGCATAAAGCTCACATTGAACATGTGCTGATCATACTGCAGTGCCATGATCAGCGATTTGAGCATGATGAATGGGGTCAACCTGTGGCTTGCTGTTTAATTTATTTCCCATGAAAGAATAATTTCTGTACAAGTCCCGTGATGTACATGGTATCCCAGAATCTACAAAAAGCGTTTGGTGCAGTTGTATAGTTGTATGCAAAAAATATGAGTTATGTTTTACTGTTTTTTTAATTGTAAAGAAGTACACATATCCTGAAAAATATTTTACAAATTCCTAAAAAAGGGAGAATGCACTTCATATTTGATCACCCTAAAAAATTTGAAAAAATGAAATGGTAATAATAATAAAACAGTATATAGTAACACCCTTTGTTCTTGGAGATATTTTTGGTCTGTCTTGCATGTATGGCATGTTCAAGATCTACCTACAGATTTTAAATAAGGTCAGGTGACTGTGAGGACCATTCCAAAAGCTTCAATTAGCATTTCTTAAAGTGGTGTATTTTGAGGTATGTTTGGGATCATTGTCCTTTTTCGGAGGCCGGCATCTTTTTAGCTTCAGTTTCTTCACTGACTGTGAAATCCTTGCTTCCAGAATTTGCTGATGTTTAGTAGAATCCATAGTAGAATCCATTCTTTGAGCCACTGGCCCCCACACAACCCCAAAGCATTACAGATCCATCCCATGCTTAACATTTTGCATGGCGTTCCTTTCATCAATTACTGCTATTCTTCCCTCAAACATATTATTAATGATTGTGGCCAAAGAGTTCCATTTTTACTCCATCAGTTCACAGCACTTGTGTCTAAAATACTTCTGGCTTATTTAGATGTTGTCTTGCATACTTCTGACATTTGACATTGACTTTTGTGGTAAGGTTTCCTTCTGATGACTCTTCCATGCAGATTGTGTTTGCAGATTAGAACGGTGCGCCACCACGCCTGTATCAGTTGAACCTACCTGCAGTGCGTTTGCTGTCATGTGGGGGTTTTGCTTTGCATTTCTGGTCAACATATGAGCAGTTCTATGTCAGTTTTCTTGGTCTTACAAATTGTGCCTTGACCCCTAAATTTCCGTTTAATGGATATTTCTTAATGACATTTCAGTGGAAATTGTGAGTAGGAGTGTTGATATCTTTTTATAGCCTCACCTGATTGTTGGTATCAATAAGCATCATTTTCAGATCCTCAGCCAGCTGCTTAGAGGAGCCCATGGTTGTTGAGTGTTAGCAGAAAGTTTGAAGAGTCAGAGAATTTATTAAACTCTGTTATCAGCTGACCTGCCTAAACAGTCCCGGCGAGTTAATTTAAGGCCTAATAAGTTAATTGTGTGAGACTTTAACACTTTTGGTAGGGTGTCCAAACTTTTTGCACATGCCACAATTTTATATATTAGTTGCAGAGGTTTTACACTTCAGGATAATTTCAAATTAGTTCAAAATAAATTGTCTCCAAAATATGCAGTAATTCAGGGGTATAGCTTTGAATGTCTGGCTACATGTTTTCTATGCATGTGTGTGTGTGTGTGTGTGTGCGCTGCCCTGTATATTAGTACAGTAATGTGTACAGTTGTGTGACAGTTACAGAAAATATGCCTGAGAATCAATTGGAATCACTGAATCATGCAAGCTTTACGGGCAAACACAAATATGCACTCACACTTGCACATGGACACTCAAAGCCACAAACACACACAGATACGTCATATATGCACAATTTCAGCCATATAGCCAAACACTCCCAGAGACACATGCCGTACTGTCTCAGAACATGAATGTCTGGGGCCACCATGAGAAATTAGGTGCTTAATGTGGGTTGGAACGTAGACTTATCAGTGTGGGAACAAGCTAAGAGTGAATTTTCAAAAACAATCCAAAGCCTTTTGAAGGCGGAGCTTAAAGTAGAGGGCGATGGTGCGTTTGTCAACTTTGTCCGATAAACAAGCCTGCTGTTGGCCCATGGATGTAAACAAATTACCCAAAGAATGTACAGTAATAATAGTATTATTACTTAGCTTGTTCCCACAACCATTTGCAATTGCCCAGCTAGGTTAGAGAGACAGTCTAGAGAGAGATGCACTGTCCAGCTAGGTTAGAGAGACAGTCTAGAGAGAGATGCACTGCCCAGCTAGGTTAGAGAGACAGTCTAAGAGAGATGCACTGCCCAGCTAGGTTAGAGAGACAGACTAGAGAGAGATGCACTGCCCAGCTAGGTTAGAGAGACAGTCTAGAGAGAGATGCACTGCCCAGCTAGGTTAGAGAGACAGTCTAGAGAGAGATGCACTGCCCAGCTAGGTTAGAGAGACAGTCTAAAGAGAGATGCACTGCCCAGCTAGGTTAGAGAGACAGACTAGAGAGAGATGCACTGCCCAGCTAGGTTAGAGAGACAGACTAGAGAGAGATGCACTGCCCAGCTAGGTTAGAGAGACAGACTAGAGAGAGATGCACTGCCCAGCTAGGTTAGAGAGACAGTCTAGAGAGAGATGCACTGCCCAGCTCGGTTAGAGAGACAGTCTAGAGAGAAATGCACTGCCCAGCTCGGTTAGAGAGACAGTCTAGAGAGAAATACACTGCCCAGCTAGGTTAGAGAGACAGTCTAGAGAGAAATGCACTACCCAGCTAGGTTAGAGAGACAGTCTAGAGAGATGCACTGCCTGGCTAGGTTACAGAGACAGTCTAGAGAGAGATGCACTGCCCGGCTAGGTTAGAGAGACAGTCTAGAGAGAGATGCACTGCCCAGCTAGGTTAGAGAGACAGTCTAGAGAGAGATGCACTGCCCAGCTAGGTTAGAGAGACAGTCTAGAGAGAAATGCACTGCCCAGCTAGGTTAGAGAGACAGTCTAGAGAGAGATGCACTGCCCAGCTAGGTTAGAGAGACAGTCTACAGACTAACACAAGTGAGTTTAATTGGGCCTGTTTACCTGAATTTAGTGCAGTGCAGTTTGAATAGAAGTCTTTGTAGTTGTAGATTTATTATTATTATTTTGTTTTTTCTATTTTTACTACAGGTTCTATTTTGCTAAATCCAAATGTTTTAATTGTAGATAAGCTAAACGTCATGATGCGTAAAAATACATTGAAGTATTATGATATTTTTGTCGCCCATCTGTGCTGTATTATTTATGATGTGTATTTATTTAGTGTAGTTATAGAACAATAATTACTACTACTACTACTACTACTACTGTTAATAATAATAATAATAATAATAATAATAATCTACATTGTGTAAGTTTAAAAAGTGTATAGAGTGCAAAAGTTGAATTGAGTAAGTTGAATAAAATATGCACACACACACACACAGACACACACACAGACACACACACAGACACACACACACACAAAGCCTTCCCAGCACTTCCCACACATGAACAGTGTGGGATACAGTGTGTGTGTGTGTGTGTGTGTGTGTGTGTGTGTGTGTGTGTGTGATAAAGCGGTAGATTGCAGCACTGAAAGGCCCTTAACCTCTCTCTACAGGATTCGCCGTTACCTAGGAAACCGGAACAAGCTCAGAATCTCAAACAGTGATAGGCTCAACGCTTTTGTGCGGCCAATTATCATTCAGCACATTGATTGGAAGAGGAAACCACCTATGACCCCCAAAGATAAAGAACAGAACCTTCACAGTGAACAAAGGCGCTAGTAACGGTTTAAAAAAGGGAAAAAAATGACCACAAACATTTGGTCAGACGTTCCCAAGTGACTCAGTCGAGGCAGCCTTTTAAAGATCCTGTCCTTTTCCTTGCTGAAGGAGTGGACTAAGTTGGCAGGGTGGTGGGTGGAGCTTCACAGAGCAGCGCTGTCCAATCAGAGCAGCTGGATTTTGTAAAGCTTACAAAAGCTCTGTGATTGGATTGTTACAGTTGATACAGAGGGTTACTTATAGATGTATAAGAGGGAGGACGGCCCAGAGAGTGGACACATCAGATCTAGAAAGAAGAGCTTCAGTCACTGCACAAAGAAGAGCAGTGTGTCTGCTCATTGACCTTTGACCTCTACTGACCCTGCCGGCCAGCTCAAGGTATTTCCGAAGTACTTACCTCTGTTCGAAGTGTATCTTTTAACATTTCTTAAACAGTAGCCTTAAAAGGGAATTCCACCCATTTTTCTAAAATTCTGCATAAATCAGTGTTTGACTTCTTTACAGTGGTGGTGATAGGAACCAGGGGTCGCCATGACTACAACACAAATATAGACATTTTATTTACTATGAAAACACCAGTGAACCTACACGAGTCTTCTGAGTTTATATGGAGTGTTGATGATGGAAAATCGTGGAAAATCTGAAATAATAAGTTTTCTTTGGGGACTATTTTGTCTCACAGCGCCCTGCATATTATGTATCCCTCCACCATGAATGGAGTTTAAGGCCAAAATCTTCTCAAAACTATCATAAAACAGTGTCTCAGTCATCAGGCAGTGAATTCATAACCATTTCATGTAGTAACTTTCTGTGAGGGAGCTTTTAGAGGTGGACGTCTGGTTCCTATCACCACCACTGTGAACAGTTCTGATTTGGTAAGTTTCTCTAGAACAGAGTGTTTCACACCAAACCACTCTGAACGACTCTGTTTACATCTTAACCATTTAATAATGCAGAAATTTATAAAAAAATTGGTGGGGTTCCCCTTTAACATTTAGTCAACAGTATCTTTAACATTTTGTTAACAGTATCTTTAACATTTCGTTAACAGTACCTTTAATATTTCTTCAACAGTGTCTTTAATAATTCGTTAACAGTATATTTAATATTTCATCAACAGTGTCTTTAACATTTCTTTAACAGTATCTGTAACATTTTCTTAACAGTATCTTTAACATTCGTCAACAGTATTTTTAACATTTTGTTAACTGTATCTTTAACATTCGTCAACAGTATCTTTAACACTTTGTTAACTGTATTTTTAACATTTTGTTGACAGTATCTTTAACATTTATTTAACAGTATCATTAATATTTCGTTAAGTGTCTTTAACTTTTCTTTAACAGTATCTTCAACATGTCGTTAACAGTATCTTTTCCAAGTTGCTCTAGAATGCAGCATTTCAAGCCAAACCACTCTGAATGAACATTGTTTACATCTTTACCATTTAATTGTGAAGAAAATTTTAAAAATGGGTGAAATTCCCCTTTAAGCTGTTGACTGTCAAGTTTCACCAAATCTGGAATCACTGTATTTAACAATATACAAACAATCTTAGAGCAGGTGCAGATGGGAAATCATTATTATTATTGTTATAATATTAGTACAACTTTATAGCTTTCAAATTATGAGCAGCTGTAAATGACTCTAATATGACTGAGGAAGCTGTATCCCCTTATGGAATATGTTATAATAATGAAATTTGTATGCCAGACACCTCATGTGGTAATAAAATCTCAAAGCTAAACATGATAATATATTCTGTTTAGCGCTGCTGTCAGAAAAAAAGTATCTTTATATTTGTCATTTTTCAGTTTTCACCATATTTTGAAAGTACCCCTCGTCTTTTATGTTGTGTCTAAATTTCATGGTGAATAGACCAAAAGAAACGACCCAAAATGACTTGGAAATATGTCTGGTTCCATTGACTTGCACTAAAAGTTGAGTATGTTTTTTCTTTCTCCAGTAAAGTTACCATTTTTGGAGAAACAAGGTTTTGTTCCAACAACATGAGACATCTAAAACACATCTAAAACACCTTCTGGTGGCTAGTTTATCATTTTTCAATCTGAAATGTATTAATTATGACTGAAAAAAGTGCAATTATTAAGATGACAAGTGATCCCAAACGTTTAAAGAGTAGTTTGTTATAAATTTGAATATTTGTAGTTAGTCTATAGAGGACTGTTCAAATTTGAATACATGATATTGCCATCATTTGCAGCAGTTTCTATCAGTGAAGAAGAAAGTGCACCTCAGTTTTACTCACCTGCCTTACAGTGACCACTGTTGACCTGTTTCTGACCTTTATAATGGTCATTCACGTGTATCCTGGTTAGAGCTGGGTCTGCTTTGCTGGTCTGATGTTGCAAAAATGCACTGCAGCATCTCAGACAGGTCAAACAGGCTTCCTCGACTAAGGCTCTGAATCAGGTGCATTTAATGAGGCAGAAGGCTGAGGTCTGTGGAGCTGCGGCCCACGAGGACCAAAGCCTGACACATGCATAGTTAGACATACGATACTGTCACTGTATAAACCAAATAAATAGACACTGATTGGGAGCTGTGCTAACCCAACATCCAAAAGTCTCCACATATGAAGGGGAACTCCACCACTTTTTCAAAATTCCTGCATAATTTAGAGTCTGAAGTGTAAACAGAGAGATTCAGGGTGGTTTGGTGTGAAATGGTTCAGATGTCTTTACAGTGGTGGTGATAGGAACCAGGGGTCGCCATGACTACAGCACAAGATATAGACATTTTATTTATTATTCTATCCACACACTGGGGTTATAAGATGTGTTTCAGCCCAGACAGTTTTTCTGAATGAGGCAGCCAATCAGAATATAGCTCATTTAAATATATTTAAATATTAGGCTCAGTAACAAAAACAGCTGGATTCATTCTACGGGATAAACAGAAGCTGAAAAATGGTCACATAAATATAAATTATGACTATTTTTGGTATAAAACGCTATACAGAAGTCAAAAGAGGACAGCAGGGGACAAAAAATAAAACCCAAGAAAAATGAAGGGTATGGGCCCTTTAATGTCATTCACAACCTTGTGTTAACACTGTGCTAAAATCAGGCCTACAAGTTGTACAGGTTCTTAAAGGGCCACTGATTTTTCAAAGGTTCTACACAATTAAGTAGTTAAGATGCAAACAGAGTCGTTCAGAGTGGTTTGGTGTGAAACGCTCTGTTTTAGAGAAACTTACAGAGTCAGAACTGTTCACAGTGGTGGTGATAGGAACCAGACATCCACCTCTAAAAGCTCCCTCACAGAAAGTTACTACAGTAAATGGTTATGAATTCACCGCCTGATGTCTGAGACATCCTTCGCCACCACTGTAAAGAAATCTGAGTCTCTACAATGAATCACTTCACACCAAACCACGATCTCAAACACTGAATTAGGCAGAAATTTTGAAAGATTGGTGGAATTCCCCTTTCAAGAGAAAACCCCACATTTCTATGTTTATCTTTAAACATAGACACACTCACTGCAAGTCACTGTTTTCATTGATAAGATCAGATGCGTCATCTGACCCTCTCAAACTTTAAGGCCTCGAGCGGTCAGATTAATACACACACACATACAGAGGGTCTTTGTCTAAATGATGAGCTGCTGTGATTTATATTTTAAAACAGGTTCATTTTCAGAACTAACTCTCTCTCTCTCTCTCTCTCTCTCTCTCTCTCTCTCTCTCTCTCTGTCTCTGTCTCGTACGTTTAAGTTTGGGCAGCTAATTAAGGTCTGTTTTCTGAAGAGAATCGCTTTATTAGCATGTTATTAAGAATTACACTGTTGGAAATGGGGCTTCAATCTTTTTGTTGGTCAGCTCAGAAAAAAAACACCAAATGCTTCGGTATTAAAGTGAGAGTTCAAAGCAAAAACGTACACAATTCATCCCAAACAACCACCTGAGACATACTTGGTGTCTGAAGTTTGCTTCTTTACTTTTGCACCCGAGCTACAAGGCTAATGCAGCTAACAAGCTAGCAAGGTTTTGCTAACTGCATGCTTAATTCATCACAGGGTCGCCTCAAACCATCTGGATCCCATGCTGACCTAACCTGGTCCATCTGATTAGAGGTTCTCTAGTGCTGGTTTACCTGGTCACCCAGCATGATCATACTGGTTGACATGCATACCAGCAACCGAAACACAACATATGCTAGTTTTGGTGACCAGGCATGCTGGTCTGATCTGGTTTCTCTAGCACGGATCTTTATTGTTGGAATGCTTGAATGCTTGTGTGCTGATGTTTGTAATCGATCTTCAGATTCTGTTTATAGCTACACAAATTGCTCTTAAAGTCATTTCAACTAATTGATGTGTTGCACTGTTAGGTAGTGGCATTAGGCCATACAGCAATAGCAACGTTTAACACAGAAATCTGCTAATTCGCTTAGATTTTTTTAAAGCAGAGTTATTATAACATACCTCATATGGTATATAGCGCCATGCTAGCAAGGTTAGCTCAGAGCTATGTTGGATTTTCCCTGCTAGAAAAACAAGCATAGACCAGCTTAGCTGGTCACCTGCAAAACCAGCATATTTTATGTTTCGGATGTTGGTTTGCTGGTCAACCAGCATGACCATGGTGGGGTGATCAGCCAAATCAGCACCAGACCAGCATAAACCAGCTTAGACCAGCATGCTGTGCTGTTCTTTAAGCAGGGTTGGTCAGCTATTTGAATACAGGTAGTTTAAGGCGTAACATTCGTAACTTGGTATGTTTTTAAGTAACTCTTATTGTAAAGGCCTGAACTCGAAGGCTGTCTTTTAATATTGTAGCGTTAGCCTGTTAGCTTTCTGCTCAGCCGCTCAGCCTACTAGGGAAGAATATATCCAGTTAAAGAGAATTTAAAGTGGAAAGCAGTTGAAAAGAGTCTGTTAGCAACGTAGCGTAAGCAGTGATGAACAACACTTCCGTTCCCCGTCAAGATATTTCGGCCAAAATTGGTGGACAGGTTAAGTGTGTCATACAGTATTAGAAACCAGATAATCAAGCCTATTAGAGAGCACTGATCAACTCCACAGCCTTGCTAAAGTGGTGACTATACGCTTTCATTACTTGTTAGCTATATTAGCTTCATAGCTCCAGTGGAAAAATCTAAAGAAGCAAACTTCAGGCACCAAATATGTCTGGATGATTGACCACATCTGGGGCAAGGTAGGGTGGGGGATTGGGGGGGACTGTAAATTAGATTTTTGGCTGAACTATCGCTTTAAGGCTGTCTCTCCTCACACTAACACTCCAACACAGTCCGGCAAGAAGATGAAAACAGCCTCCCTCCTCCGCTTTCATAACTAATCATTTCAGCACACTGCAGTTTGTACTGTCCGGCAGCCCAATTACTGTAGCCTCCAGACAGACAGACCGAGAGAGAGAGAGAGAGAGAGAGAGGGAATGAAAGAGAGGATTAAATAACATTCCTGCAGCCTTTTCCACACACACACCCGCCCGCTGTGAAAGATCACTAATTAAATCACCTGGCAGCTACGCCAGCACACAATTACCGTGGACACAATCGAAGCAGCTCTCTGTCCCTCTGTTCCTCACTACCCCTCTCTCTACCCCTCTCTTTATCCCTCTATCTCTCTCTGTGGTAAACACACAGTAGTTGTCTTGATTCTGCTATCTTTTATTGAGATTTTCTGAACTGACAAAACCTGAAACTTATCATAAATGTGGCAAATTGGATCAAAAACTTTGGAAAATCTAATTTCCCAACTTTTTCAAAATAAAAGTTTGATACTGTGTATTGTGTGTAAATAGTGTTATCATTATTAAGTACCGTCAGGTCATTTCCGACTCCTGGTGACCATCTCCAGTTTCCTGTCGTCTGTTTGGGCCTTCAGGCTTCTCAATGGCTGGTTCATGATTCCTCTGATTCATCCATCCTTCTTGTAGCTGGTCATCCTCTTTCACCTTCAACTCTTGCAAACACAACTGACTTTTCCAATGAACTGGTTCTTCTCAGAATGTGTCCAAAAGAAGAGCTTCAGTTTAGTTATCTGGGCTTTGAGTGAGAGGTGAGGCTTGATTTGGTCAAGGATCCAGATTTCTTTGCCATCCAAGGTAATTTTAGAAGACTTTGTTTACCTGTCTCGCTTGTTTATTGTCCAGCTTTCACATACATGAAGAACCACAGCCTGAGTGCTGGATCTACCTACACACTAAGCCACTTATCCTCCTGGTGGTGTCATCCCAGTAGTCATTGGGTGGAAGGCAGGAAACACCCTGGACAGGTTGCAGGGCAGGTCACAGGGCCAATTTAGGGCCTGACTGCATGGACTGTGGGAGGAAACCCATGCAGACATGGGCCCCCTGTATGCCCAGCCGGGGAATCGAACCCAGGCCCTTCTTGCTGTGAGGTGACAGCGCTGCCGTGCCACTGGACCCCAAAATAATTGATCTGAGTAGGCAAAAGCTGTCCACCATTTCCACACCTCATCCATCGATAGTAAAGTTAGCAGTCTTTCCTGTCATCATCACCTTAGTCTTCTTCATACTGAGTGTCATAAACAGTGTAAATAGTGCAAAGTGTTCCATTCACCCCCCAGTCCATGCAGTCCGTATATAGAAACTACACCGCCTGTTTTTAATTCATTGTTTGTTTGTTTTTGTTTTTTTAAATGAAGCATTTACATATTGATATATGTAAATGAGCTCTGCCTCTGCCTTTTCTAATGGTACAGTAACAAAAACAGGTGTTTAATTCTGAGGGATAGAGTGTGAAGTAAAAATTAATCAGAAAACATAAAGCACTCAAACGTCGTAAGTGGGAAAAAAATTAAATACGAGAAAAATTGGCTCTTTCAGACTTGGTTTCCGTCTCGAATAAGCACTAGACCAAATGAGATTTTCTTACAGTGATGAATAAATTAAATACATTAATATGAGCAAATATGAAAAACAATGGCATAAAAATATTTAAAATATTTAAAAATACATTAAATAAATAAATAGATAGATTTTTATACATCTGTTTTAGTTTTAATTAAAAAAATATATTTAATTAATATTTATATACTTATTATTATATATTTGAATATTTATTTATTTATTTACTTTAAATTTAAAATTATAAAAGAGGAACATGCAAACTCTGTTGACATAAAAATCTTCATGTATCACTTTTAAAGTACATCTAGTAGTTATGCTAATTTAGCACTCATTAAATGTACTAGTGAATCACTACAGATGTTGCCCTGCAGTATATGGAGAATAATATTGCTGTAAGTGTTGTAGGTGTGAAGCGTGTCAGGATAATCAGTACTGACGTCTCCGGCGGAGATTGTGTGCCGGGGAAAGCAGGTTCAGGGTCGCACCGCAGGCCGTGACTCACTGCGATGGAACGTGACGTGATGGAGCAGTAATGTGGGGAAATGCGGGTTATTTTTCCTTTAATGCACTGCAATGTAAATCAAGCACTCAGACTGAGCCTCCGCATGGCTTCAGTGTTGTAGTCCTGTAGTGTATTAGCTGGGGTTCGGCATGTTCTGATGAGCTACAGGAATGACGACAACAACTGAGACTTGGAAAATGAAGAAGAGACCTTCACGGTGGTGGACGGTCTTTGACTGATAATATGAGTTAAAGCAGAACTGGAAGCCACAGCTTTGATCACGTTAAAATGCTAAAATGTTAACATTTTGGAAGACGATGATGATGATGGTTGCCAAAGTTTTGCTTAGATGTTGCTATGCAGTTGCAAATGTATCCAAGGTGGTTGGCAAGGTGTTGCTAGGTGCTTGCTATGGGGTGCCAGGTTGTTGCTATGCTAATAAATACACTGGTAACTTAAATCCACTGCTTGCTTGAATTCACTGCCACCTTAAATTCACTTCCACCTTAAATTCACTGATACCTCAAATTCACTGCCATCTTAAATTCAGTGTTGGCTGAAATTTACTGCCACCTTAAATGCAGTGCCACCTTAAATCCATTATTTGCACTGTTATTGCTGTGCATCATTTTTTATAGGAAAAAAATATCGTCTAATCAGGTATTGGTCCTTTGATCCTGCAAAGTTTCATGATTCTAGCAGAAAACTGCGGGACAATAAATATTTTACTTTTTTTGTAGAATAAGAAAAAGTAGAAGATTACAAAGCACAGTAGGTTGGCTTTTTCAATGACTGAAGTTTGGAAGGAGGACCTTGCCTGAAGCTCCTCTCCTTCCAATCTGATGTCCTATAAATTTCAATCCTTACCTCGTGTTTCCCATGAAGATTACCACTTTCTCATCTTGTTGCTGTTCCTCAGTCCCATCTCTGTTCATTCAAGAGGGTCCAGTCTTCTAGCTCAAGCAGAAGCCACCCAGAACTCCAGCCCAGGTTCTCAGAGTTCTTTCCCCTCCTACAGTCAAATGATATCATCTTCTTCTTCTTCTTCTTATATGACAAATATAATTGGAGGCATGATCTGAAATCACTAAGTGTAATATTTATGAAGTTCACTTTGTTAACCTGGCTCCACAAGACAAGTGGGTCCACGAGAGAGGAGCCCAGAATCAGTCCTCTCAACAATTCCATTAGACTCTTATTTTGTAAAGTCTGATCCTGAGACGTCGTCTGTTGGAGTCTCTCACATCTTGTCTGACCTCCCACTAACCCTCCGTTCTGCTGATCTTTCCAGGTCCAAACCACCACCACCACCATCATCACCACCACCACCTCCATCCTCACACCACCTCCCACCTCATAGCCATGGCAACTACCACCACTGGAAACAGCAGCAGTTCAGACCAGAAGTCCACCACTTCCCCACTAATGGCCAAACCTACCAGCCAGCAGCGACTGGTAAGCAAGGATGGACGTAGTCTCCTGAGGGGCCCAGCGGCTGGTGGACGGGCGACCTGGGTGGGGGCGCTGCGGGACATGTGGGGGGCATGGCTGTCTCTGCGCTGGCGCTGGGTGGTCCTGGCCTTCTGCGGCTCCTTCCTCCTCCACTGGCTCCTCTTTGCCGTCCTGTGGTACCTGCTAGCCCGGGCTAACGGAGACCTGGGCGTCGACCATGACAACCCACCCCCGGGTCACACGCTGTGCGTCAAATACGTGACCGGATTCACGGCGGCATTCTCCTTCGCTCTGGAGACCCAGCTGACCATAGGGTACGGGACCATGTACCCCAATGCTGACTGTCCCACCGCTATCGCCCTCCTCGCCCTGCAGATGCTGCTGGGACTCATGCTGGAGGCCTTCATCACTGGTATGTAATTTATAGGGAAGTAGTGAAACCCATATCTTACGATTCGAGGTTTTAGGTATTAAAAACGTTTAAATTCCACAAAGCTCTATTTATATGCGACATAGATTGGAAAGCCCAGTCATTTGAGGGTGGGTGTGTCCATAGAATAAGCCCCGCCCCTTCTTCCATATTGCATCTCCATACGCAATACGCCATAGTCTTCCTCAGGACAAACGACACATGTAGTACGTAAACATTGTCAAAGTTTCAAACCCCAATCTATACGGTCCCAGTATGGAAACTAAGATTCACAATTATTGTGATGTCACAAAAACCAACACATTTACCTATATCTGCCTACAGCAGTTAAGCCCCGCCCATTTACTCTGAAGTTATAAGGAGTTTTTCGACCTGGGCTGCTTTTTTTAACAAGACACAGTACAGGGCAGCCAATCAGTACAGAGCTCATTTACATACATCAGTCTTAAAGGTACAGTAACAAAGAGAGGTTGGAAAATGTAGCATATTGGCCCTTTAATTGGTGCATTTCTATGTATGGGCCTAATCATTGTGGGTTCTACTGTAGGGGTTTGTAGGTCAACTAGACACTGTTATGCACTTCCGCTCAATATAATGAACAGCAGTTATCCAGGCCACAGTGTTCCTGCAGCACATGGTGATGTTTTCAGACTGAAGGTTGAACTTTCCTGAGAAGTGTATTGAACAGCACTGATTAGGAGTGTCTTCTCCAAACACTTCATAACTCCCTCTCGCTTGTGGGTGTGGCCAAGGTGTCACTACAATCCAGAAAGACCAATAGAACAGGACTGGTCTCACCCGTTCAGTGCAGATCCCGCCCACAATCAACATGCTGACAGATCTTTTTAGCACACGAGTGAAAGAAAGAAAAAGAAATAATCCATGCTAGCTTGGAATCAAACCACCCCACTTCTAAAAAAGAGCTATTTTACTGTCAATATTGTCTAAATGATTCATTTCTGTTCTTAAAAATGAAAAAAAATCTTAAATAGCCCATATCATGGAAAACTGAATTTACCTCAAAAGAGTTTGATGCAGCACACGAACATCCTACCTAATCCATACAGTCTATATATGGCAGCAGTCGCAACCCAGATGTTAAGAAGAGACATTTTATCCTTTCAACAAAAATCAAACCATCTTGGGATCCACAACATTTGATGTCCAGTTTACCATCTTGGCTGTAAATATGTCTCAGTATATGCTAATGTACTAGTGCAGGCTAACAAATATAATATAAACGAAAACGCAGACTTACTTTGCTCTGCTTTAAGTTTTAGCTCTGCTGTAGCCGCTTTTCTCGCATCTCTAGCAGGAAACTTTTCCACAAAAGTAGAATCATTTCTTGTAAAATGTCTCTCAACGTTTGACTTTTTACGAGGCTGAAGTCGCTTCTGATTCGCCAGCTTCTAGTTCAAAATTTTCTATTCCACCTTAAATGGTGCCTGAGGCGCCAGAGTGTAACTGCTGCACCATTTAAGGTGGAACGGGATCATTTGCACAAGAAGCTGACTTCAGCTTTGTGACTTTTTAGTATTTGACAGTTTCTCATTGCAGATTAACCCACTATTACATGGTGTTGCCATATGGCAACAAGTACTTTATCTCAATTTCACTGAAAAGCAGTAATATAAAATCTGTGTTTTCCTATTTAATTGAGGAAAAAGGGTCTTTTACTTTGAAAGGACAAATACGTATGACATTAGATGTCCAGGAATTTTTATTATGATGTTGTTATTACCATGCATTCAAAATACCAACTGAAATTGTATTAATTTCCAATATTTGTAAATACTGGGTCATATAATTTCCCCATATTAAATTTTTTCTTCAGATATTTTGATTATTTAAGCAATTTTAAATAACAAAATCATATTGAAACATTTTCTATCATGTTTAAGTAATAATTCATGCAATAGAGGGTTAAACCTATCAGGAAACCAGCTGGACTGATTATAAACACAAATTATTGATGTTCGTCTTAAATCTCTCTCTTTGCTGTTTCGTTAGCTACTAGCTGGGCGAGACTGTTGTCTGTGTTGCTATGGTGACCAGCAGTCTGTGCTGATCTTCAGGGTTAAGGGTGAATTAGCAGTTCTACATTAACTCCAGAGTTTAAGACCATTTATTGTTAAAACTGTGTTAGAACTCTGACTGTTTTGTGAGCCAATCAGACCAGAGCTCATTTACATATACATACAGTCTTAAAGACACAGTAACAGAAGCATAATGTAGTATAATGCGAGGTTGGAGAATAGATAAGAATGAATTATGACTGTTGTTTTGGTACATAAACACATATAATTTAATAATAACTGGGCCTGGAAATGAAGGTTATCTTCAGTTTTTCCCTTTAATTTATTACATTTCACTTCAAAACAAAGAAACAATCACGTCCATAAGCATGCAGGTAGTTAGAATTACCAAAGATGTCAGAAATTCACTGATTAAATATTTGATAACCAGTTTAATTTAGCTATTTTAATTCTGATCTTCTTTGAAGTCAAACAGTTCAGCTGGTCTGTTTTACCCACTTTTAAATTTATAGTCCCCAAGTTGGGGGGGGTTTCAAAATGACATGTTCTGGATACACAGTCCACTCTTCTAGACACATTCAGTGCATGCTAGGTTGGTATATATTGGTGCATATTTGCATTATGGACAGTAGGAGTCATATTTCATTTTCTATTACCTATTTTGCAAACTTTTAACCTTTGAAAACTCTCTTGGAACCCATTTACTGACTGTGCATTCATGGAGAAAGTAAAACTGTGAAACGTCAGTCTCTCAGTACTGAGTGGCCTAACATATACTGTAACTTCTTTAAACTTGCTATAGCTAACATATAACTTCTAAAACCAGTTAAACCACAACTTAATGCACGTTCAGTAAACATGCTGTCAATCAGTTACCGCTGAGTGACCAGTAACACAGCATATGGTCATCAAGATTGTCAACCCATGAACCTTTGGAAGTACAGAGAGTCCAGAAGTTACATTGTGTTTGTATACAAAGAATAAAATTTTGTTCAAGCTTATTTTAGTTATATACCTATTAGTTACTGACATAATGTGTGTGGCTAAGACAATCGACAGCTTCATTCTGCGTACTCCGTCACCCTGTTCTTCAATGGTCAGGACCCCCACAGGACCCCCATAGAGCAGGTACTATTTGGGTGGTGGGTCATTCTCGGTATGTGGTGGTGGTGTGTTAGTGTGTGTTGCGCTGGTCTGAGTGGATGGAGTTTTTAAACACCTCAGTGTCGCTGCTGGACTGAGAACCAAAAATTTCCAGCCAACAGCGTCCTGTTGAAGGACTAGAGGATGACCAACACAAACTGAGCAGCAGCAGATGAGCTATCGTCTCTGACTTTACATCTACAAGGTGGACCAACAAGTTAGGAGTGTCTAATAGAGTGGACAGTGAGTGGACACAGTGTTTAAAAACTCCAGCAGCACTGCTGTGTCTGATCCACTCAGACCAGCGCAACACACACTAACACACCACCATGTCAGTGTTACTGCAGTGCTGAGAATGATCCACCACCCAAATAGTACCTTCTCTGTGTGGGTCCTGTGGGGGTCCTGACCATTGAAGAACAGGGTGCAGAGAAACAGATGGACTACAGTCTGTAACTGTAGAACTACAGAGTATAACGATATGGTCCTATATATATATATATATATATATATATATATATATATATATATATATAGTATGTATATAACTACAGGGTTAAATTTAAATCACTTCTCTTTTCATCTTTCTCTCTCTCAGGTGCGTTCGTGGCCAAGTTCTCTCGCCCCCAGAAGCGCTACAGCGGGATCCTGTTCAGTCCGCAGGCCGTGGTTTCCGAGATCGAAGGTCAGCGTTGCCTGATGTTCCGCGTGTGTAACCTGCTCTCCAGGCCGCTGGTGGACGTTTGCGTGAGCGCCGTTCTCTACGAAGAACGTGATGATATGACCCTGCACCAGACCTCCCTCGAGTTCCAGCTCGACGGCCTGGGGTCACGTCCCTGCCCCCTCTTCCTGTCACCGCTGACATTTATTCACCCAGTGACACCGGACAGCCCACTAAACCGCATTCTCACGCCTGGCAGTCAGTCGCATTTCGAGGTGGTGGTGTTCCTCTCCGCCTCCCAGGAAGGCACGGGCTCTGCCTACCAGAAGAGGACGTCCTACCTGCCTGACGAGATCCAGTTTGGCCGGCGCTTTTCCAAGGCAATGGTTCTACGTGGCAACGAACGGCGGAACAGCACGGAGGCCATGCGCTATTTTGACACACACCTCTGCTCACTCACAGCCCCCAACTCTCGGGACAAGGAATGTGTGGTGCAGATCAATGGTGAAGGAAACGACAAGATGGAATAGATCTACGTAGCGTCTGTTGTCTTTTTATCCAGTTCGTGCGTACAAAAGGGCATTCCACTCATGAACCAAGAACCTCCAACACCTCCAACAACCGAAGGCTGTGTTTTTGCTTTATTTTAACTATGCGTTACGTGAGTTGCATTGTTGGCAAACTCGTCTAGAGGAGTAAGACCTAGATCCAGTAGGGGGCAGATCATAGCAGAAACATTCCTGGCTAGCACAGGAAAACCTTCCTTGACTACTTTTCCTGATTTTGCACAAGGTCGACAGCGAACAGGGCAACAGTCAAGGAGACTCCTCTTGTTTATCTTGCAGGACAAGCACAGTTAGCTTCTCAAAACCTTCTACCTTTGTTGTGGTTCAGTCTGCTGCTGAAGTCACGTCCCATCCTGGTGCGCTGCCCTCACCATTAACGTTGGACGTACCACGCTAGTTTCCGAGGACACACATGAACTACATGACATGCGTAGTTAAAATGAAGTACAGCGCAGCCTTTATAATTCCGCCCCCTCCTTCTCCAGGACAACCTCCAAGAACTTCACCAGACGCTAATGTGCTAAACGGGACGGTCTCTGAAGATCCCAAACGAATGAATTTCTGTTCAACACTTTTGCTGCTATGGGTACCGGGTGATTGACAGCTCCTGGGTCTTTTCTGCTGTTCCAAAATAAGGGAGGGTGATGGTGACTGGTGGTCTGGGTTTTTGGACAGTCTGTGCCCTTATCTACAGTGTCCCCAGTGGTCTCTATGGTCCAGTTGGTTCTTTAAGGCCAACAATTGCACCAAATTGTTTTCCCTGCTCCAACATCCCTGATTAAACTCATGAAGGGATTGAGAACAGGCTGAGTTAGAGTGGTGAAGACATTAGGTGCAGGATTTGGGTAGCATGTTCCTACCATGTTCTTCTGAGTCAAATTCATACCAGCCAGACTTAAAGGAAAAGAAAAAACAAATTTACATGATTTTCCACTGACCTCAAATGCAGTCCGTCAGCCAAGACGTGTTTGGTGTCCAAGTTCTGTTTATTTAGTTTAGAACTGGAGCTGCCAGGCTAACATTAGTCATGAAAACCATTTCCACAAACACATGACAAAATCTTTGTGTATTTGCTTCAAATTATGACGATAAGCTAGTTTCGAAAAAAAAAAAGAATTTTTTACACATTCTTTACACATTCAAGCTAAAATTGGAATTGCATTATCATATGCACAACATCTTGCTTTGCGCTTTCAAACGCTGGGAGGCCGTAGCGCAGGGGTGTGTTGTAGAAGTCACTACGCAGGTACGTAGCGTTAGCACAGTAATACAAAAGACTTGTTAAAAGTTACCTATGAAGAACCTACAAAAATGAGATGTTGCCTAAGGTGCCACAATGCTACCGCTGCACCATTTAAGGTGGAACAGAGAATTTGAATGAGAAACTAACTTCGGTTTCCTGCTAAGAGGGTCCAGGGGAGTCACTGGTGGGTCCAGTGTCCAACTGATGCATTCACTCTCAGAAAAAAAGGCACGAAACCGTCACTGGATCAGTGCCCCTCTTGCCACCGGGGTGGAACCCTCAAGGGTACATCTCAGTACCTTCAGTCAGGGAACATAACTGTACCGTTACCCTGACTGTTCAGATATGAAAAGGTACAAATACGAACTTTTCACCTGGAAAAACTTATTTAAGGTTCACAATCAGACCTTAAAACCACTGTTGAACCTTTGAGGGAACATTTACACTGTTTGTACCTTGATTTCTAACAGTGTGGAATTGTATATTCACGTTCCAACATATATACGCTTGAGGCTCATTTGTGCAGAAAACGTGGTCCTCAAATGTCGTAATCGGACACTGTATTGATTTTCTGAGTTTAGCTGCTCTGTTTACGTTACTGGACGGTGCATCTTGTGAATTAGCCCTCTCTTTGGTCACCTTGCACAGTACAATACCAAATTGTGCTCAGGAAAACAAGTGACTCTGGTTATCCTAAAAAGCTGCCCCCATTTTTAGCGACCTGAAGAAGTTTTTAGCGACCTGAAGAAGTTTTTAGCAACCTGAGTGTTTATTTTTTTAAATAGTTCATAGTGAGTCATACTGCTTTCTTAAACCATATCGACTTGTTCTAAACCACATCTGCACGATCTGAATTAATCCTGGATGCGGTTTGAGTTGACTGAAAGAAGTTCTGGACGTGTGCTTGTGGAAATGGTTTGGGTGACTATTGACTTACACTAGCTTTTTGGCAACACTAGCTTCAGAGCTTCAGTTCAAAAGTAAAGAAGCAAAATTTTGACGCTAAATATGTCTTGGCTGATGTGGAAAATCATGTCAACTTCGCCTTGGATGAATATACCGACTGGAAGTTGCTCAATAGCTGTATGTTTATGTGCCTTCAAACCATGCAAAAACGAATTAAAGTGGTCAATTTGACCACTTAAATGGACAGTTCACCAGTTTTTTACAAAATTTTGCACACATTTATAGCATAACCTGAAAATGTAAAGATTTTAAATCTGGTCAGCCTAAATTTTACTTTATCCCTCAATCCGACTGACCTCCACTCTTACATGAACAGTGCTAACGCACTGGAACCTGGGGTAATTGGTGACCTTTTCTCTCATGTGGAATTGGAGGAGCTCATGTTTGCTGGAGGCCTTTCTGGGATCTGGACAGATGCTGACTCATGTTGGAGCTTAAGACACATGACACCTTCCAAAAAGGAGATACTGGCACCAACAGTGGGACAAACATTTAGAGAATAACTCAGTATCTACTGGAATGGAATCTACGCATAAATCTGCACGATTTTATTGGTAGTTGCACACTGTATATTATGTTTATTTTCTTATCAACCCTAGATTATATGCTGGATTATGATAGTACTTATCTTATGTTAGAAATTCTAAAAGTCTTTGCTCTGGACGTCTGGCCTTTCAGAGCAGAAGGCTTTTCACTGGCACAGGAAATCAGTAGGCCTTCTATTTTTGTTTTGTTTTTTCTCATTAATCAATCAAATATATGTACTGTAAATTAGAAATGATTGATTTTTATATCAGTATCATGTCAGTAAAACATGTCTGATCCTAATAAAATTCGACTTTTTCAAACATTTTTTAAAAGTAAACACTACTATTTGTACATTGAACTATGAAAGGCCCACAGTTGTCTGTAAAAGAAATGCCATAATTTTGTAACATCTTTGTAACAGCTGAATAAAAATATTCTTTAAAAAAGAGCATTTTTTCAATATGAATGCACTGCCTGATGTCTGAGACATTGTTTTACAATAATTCTGAGAAGATTTTGGCTCAAAAAATGCGGTGACAATAAACGGTGTAGCCCATATCGGGGGAAAATACAAATATTTTCACAGTTTGATGGAGGTATACAACATTCATACTCATAATATTAAAAGATATGAGTACAAAATGATATATAAAATGATATATAAAATAATGTTTATAGTGATAATTGTTATGTAGTATAACATAACCAAAAGCATAGCATTTGCAGTCACTATGCACCACTTTTAACCATGTTTGCCTGCCTGAAGTACCTAAAAATAAATAATTACCCTGAAGCCTTTCATGCATCCAGCCTGGTCCATTACGCCACTCTCAAGCAGCCAAAGCTCTGCAGTAAGCAGCTTCAGAAATTGCATACTTTGAGTAATTACACCAAAATAAAAAGACAACTGCAGAAAGACAACTGAAATCACAGCAAAACATGGTGGTGGTAGTACTACGGAGCTATACAGTAATGCACAGCGTTCACATAGTTTCAATTTTCTCCAAATGTATAGCTTCCTAAAGCTTTTTGTCTACTGTCTGGTGAATATTACGGTTTCAGGCACACATAGACTAAATCTAGAGTACCAGGGGGTAGTTTTGGTATCAGAAGTGTGGGGGTACGAAGAACCCTGACACCTAAACCACAACGTAGGTCACATTAACTTAGTGTATTAATTTTACACGGTCAGATTTAAGGGGGTTAAGAGAAGTTCTGAGCATGTATTTACAGAAATGGTTTGGGTGACTATTGACTTGCAGTGTTAGCATCATTAGCCTCGTAGCTTCAGTTCAAAACTAAAGAAACAAAATTTGGACACCAAACATGTCTTGGCTGATTCGGTGAAAGTGCAAAATCATATAACTTTGATTGTTCGCCGACCTATTTCTTTAAGTTGGCTTGAATTAAAATGTCTTAAGTGGAGATATGGCACCAAATGGGGACAACCATGAATAATGTAAAATACATGAATGAATATATAACATCTGTATGATTATAGGGACTTTAAACCATGCAAAGTTAAAATTTTTCCTCAAAAATTCGCACACATTTATAGCATAGCCTGAATGTTTCCCAAAATGTAAAGATTTTGAATCTGGGTGGCCTAGATTTTACTTTATCTAACTCTTACGTACTCTAGCACGCTAGAACCTTAAAATAAATTGGTGACCTTTTCTCTCATGTGGAATTGGAGGAGCTCATGTTTGCTGGAGGCCTTTCTAGGATCTGGACAGATGCTGACTCATGTTGGAGCTTAAGACACATGACACCTTCCAAAAAGGAGATACTGGCACCAACAGTGGGACGAACATTTGGAGAATAACTCAGTATCTACTGGAATGGAATCTACGCATAAATCTGCACGATTTTATTGGTAGTTGCACACTGTATATTCTTATCAACCCTAGAAAACATGGTGGATTATGATAGTACTTACCTAATGTTAGGAATTCTAGAAGTCTTTGCTCTGGACGTCTGGCCTTTCAGAGCAGAAGGCTTTTCACTGGCTGAGGAAATGAGTAGGTAACATTAGCTTAGCTAGCTAGTTAACATTAGATGTTGACTTTCTGTTTTGGGTTTTTAGTCTCATGTTATCACCGATATAACAGTAAAGCAACACTTCTTACCATTAGATAGCTAGCTAACTTTAGCTACAAAGGCTAGCTTACCATGTTAATGGTTAACTGCCGTTTCTGTGCCTCTTCATCTTCACATTAGCATACAGACAGTTTTCTAAGAATGTTTTATTAGCATAACCACTGAAACAGATGTAGCAAAGGTGAAGCCCTTTGATCCCATCTACTCTACATGTCCAGATGTTTGTAGACACCTGTTCCTCCAGCGTTTCGTCCGAAATGAAGAGTATTAATAGGGAGATTCCTGCAGTAACAGCCTCTACTCTTCTGGGAAGGCTTTATGCTAGATGTTGGAACATTGTTGTGAGGATTTGATTGAGCATTCATGAGGTCAGCTACTGATGTTGGATGCTCAGTTCTGGATCATAACTCATTCTAAAGGTATTGGATGGAGCTCCATCACTCCAGAGAACGCAGTACTGCTCCACAGCCCAATGCTGGGGGGCTTTATACCCCTCTAGCCCACACTTGGCATGGGGCATGGTGATCTTAGGCTCATGTGCTCCAGAGCGCCCATTCTATTGGTCAGTGCTTTTCTACTGATCTGTGTATATGTGCAATTGAACACCTTTGTCAGCAATAGGTGCACCATGAAAGGTCCATATCCTACATTTATTTTCCACTTATAACATTTGTGTGATTTTATGTGCCAAAAACAGTAGAATTAGGAATTAATCAGGCTGTTTGTGTTAGTGTATGTAAATGAGCTCTGTTTTGATTGGCCATGCCTCATTCAAAAAGCAATCCAGGCTGAAACACTCTTTATAACTTAAGTGTGAATGGGCAGAGCCATATTGATATAGGTAGATATACATAAATAGGTCATTTTTTGTGACATCACAAATCAAAATGGGACATTTTTGCAAGTTCATTCCTTATATATGAACTGGGGAGTGAAATTCAGCAATACTCACATATTACATCAAACTATTACCTCAAACAAGTGAGGAAAATGAAGTCTTCTGTGATGTGGACCCTTTAAAGTAGATGAATACTGACATTAAGTGTGTTTACATGCACTTAATAATTTGATAACTGCAGAAAATCTAATTTGTCGGTAATCGGATCAACGCATTTACATGCACTTGAGTAATCAGATAATGGAGAATCTCAGGGTCTACATGAGTCAGACACTAATCAGATTTCTGCTTTACAACCAGCCAATAAACTCACAGAAGAAGGTAAACGTTACGTAAAATTCAAACTTCATGAGCATCTTTTTTTAAAAACACTGCGGCACTTTACCTGAAAATATGAACATCCATCATCTAGAAGATGAAGAATATTTAAGTCCTTCATTCGTCAAGCATGTATTCACTTTCAGCGTCACTGTGAGATGCAGCAAAACACTTTTGGAGCGACGCTGAAACCTGCTCGCTTATTTTTGATATCGCTGTCTGTTTTTACACATGCTCAGACTGAGAGAAAGGAAAGAAATCAGAGTAAGAGTCCACACGCACTGAGAAATCTGATTACTGAGCTAAAATCCAGCCTCTTTATCAGATTTCTTATTCAGATTTATAGACCTTACTCCGATCTAAGAAATCAGAGTGTACTGTTTACATGCCCATTTGAATAATCGGAAAACTGCAGAATCATAATCAGATTATTGAGTGCATGTAAACACACTCACTGACAGTAGCTCATACTTTTGAACATGGAGTCTGTTTTGGACTCAGTTCTGATTCAGATGTGCTTTTATTAATCAACCAATGTTTTAGCCCCTGTAAAACTTTTTCCAGAAAGACGACCAACAACAACCCCATCTTATGAAAAAAATATATATATAATAAATCACACTTTTACATTTTTTTTGAAAAATACACTGATTTAATAATGGATTTTTAACGATTTTCCATCATTCAGCAGCATTGGTAGTCTAACATTAAACGTGAAGGACTGAAATCAAACTAACAAACTCAAATAGTGCTCAATAAAAAGACAATCAGGGTTTAAATCAAATGTAAAACAAACTAAACAACAAGAAAATAAAGGCTGACCACATTTTCCCTTCATTTCTAAGCCTACATATCACAATATAGTTGGTCATAATCAGTATTTGCTCCACAAATCCAACTTTACAGACTCTTAAAGGTTACATCTAGGATTATATACGATTATTTATTATTATAATTATTTACTAAATTACTTTACATTAAAGATCTGGATACTTCTTTAAAAATAGAATGAGTAAAATAGGCTCACACGGTTAAAGCTATGAGTGTGAGCTGCTTTAGCTACAGTTACAGTTACAGTGACACTTTACAGTGCACATCAGGTACAGCTGTGCTTCTGCTGACGTCATCAGGAGGTACAGTGTTTGTGCCTGTGTGTGTAGTGTGCTTGCCTATTGTGTGTATGCCTGTACTGGAAGCCATACACATGTGTCTGACCACTTCATTGGGTCCACCTACCATGTATCTACACTCACTGTCCATTTAGTTGCTATGTAGGGGAGCTTTGTAGATCTACAGATTCACTGTCCAGTCTTGCACCTTGTAAAATGTTGGTCATCCTCTACTCCTTCATCAGTGGTCACAGGACGCTGCCCACAGGACGCTGTTGGCTGGACATTTTTGGTTGGTGGACTATTCTCAGTCCAGCAGTGACACTGAGGTGTTTAAAAACTCCAGCAGCACTGCTGTGTCTGATCCACTCAGACCAGCACAACACACACTAACACACCACCACCACGTCAGTGTTACTACAGTGCTGAGAATGATCCACCACCCAAATAGTACCTGCTCTGTGAGGGTCCATGGGGGTCCTGTCCACTGAAGAACAGGGGAGAAGGGGGCTAACAAAGTACGCAGAGAAACAGATGGACTAACTGTAGAACTACAAAGCCCATCTGCATGGTCAGTGGGGCTGGAAAGGCTGGTCTTCTTGACCCTACTGTTTTTATATGGGGGTGGTTATGTCATTAAAACATGCCTTATGTTATTTTTTCCCAGTTTTCTCCCCAATTTAGTCGTATCCGGTTCCACCCACTAGTTAGGACTCCCCCAATCACACGACCCCATCAGCGCTAGGAGGGTGAAGGCAAACACTGGCTTCCTCTGAGACCTGTGAAGCTCCACCGCATCTTTACGAACTGCCGCTATTGCAACGTCACTGGACAGCTCAACACGCTCGGAGGAGAACACTAACCACCAGTTTCGGTTACGTCAGCTAACAGACGCCTGCACTAGCTAGTACTGTGCTTAGCATCACAAGGGATCAAACTTGTGATCGCCTTATGGTTTTTTAATAAACCGATAAATGTTTTTCCGATACCGATAAATTCCAGCGCACAATGCTCAACAAACACATGAACTGTGAAAAACGTAGATCACAGACTCAAACGTGACCCCTACGGTTTGAGGACACAAGACCACTTTTACACTCTTACCCCGCGTTCACACCAGCAGCGAGGCAATCCGACGAGGCGGCCGGAGGTCATTCATGTTCAACGAGAGCTGCGATTTCCAGCAACAGGGGGTAGCGTGAATGTTGGCGATGCGAAGTGGGCGGAGTCAGACATGACAAAGTTGAGCGGAGTTTAACTTTATGCAAATAAAGAGCGAAGCGACGTAGAGGTTACCAATAGGAATTGAGCACTGAGCAGCGTAGTACACGCTTTATCTCCACCACTGTGAAACAGTACGCTCCGTTTTCGGTTCCTAGATAACTGTTCCAGAGACGGAATATTGCCGGCGGTGCTTTTGCTGCAAACAGACAGTAACCGCAAGGCAGGGATGCATCTGATTTGTTCTTGGCGTCAGCGAAACCATGGCAACCAACGGTCAGTTGGAATTCAGAAACGCCCGCAGGCGATGAGCGACCAGTGATTTGGGCGTCGAAGGGCGAAAAGTCGCTGCCGTTGTGAACACACGGTTAAAAAGATGGTTCTTTAAGGGTTCTTTAGTAAAGACAATGGGCCTCATTCAAACGATAGCATCCTAAGTTTGTTCTTATGTGTGTTCTTGAGAAAGAGCCAAAGAAAAAGTCTACGTCAGATTCATGACGTGATCTTAAAGCGCAGAACGGTTCTCACCTTTGTGCTCTTGACAAATCCCAAATAAGAGAACAGTGATGAATGTCAGAATCTTCGTCAAAACTGCGTCAGTGGGTTTAAGAAGAGATTTCTTCTTAAGAACGGTTGGTGAATGAGGCACATAGGCTGGTCCTACATAGAACCATGAACACTCGAAGGACGAAGGCGCAATCTTTCTTCAGATTGATGGAGAATGTGTTGTATATGGTTCTATGCAGCACCAAAAAGGGTTCTGCAATTGTTACAAGCTTAACATTGTCACAGTGGAAGAGCCCTTTTTGGTGATATATAGAACAACATGTTCTCCAAAGAACCATCATGAACCACCATGCAAAGAACCGTTTAAGCATACAAATGGTCCTTTGAGTGTTCATGGTTCTACACAGAGCCATTGTCTTTACCAAAGAACCCTTGAAGAACCATCTTTTTTTAAGAGTGTACAGACTGAGTGGGCTCATGCACAGACTTCAGAAACAGTGTAAAACACATGCGGGTTCCCCTTTATGAACAACGGTCTAGATTTAAAAATCGGAGCCGTTCCTACTCGTCCTGCCCGAGTGGACCTGCTGAAGTGGCCAGTGAGTGCAGCATGGTGACCGCTTGGAAGCTGGTAAGCGCTGTTTTGGCTGCAGTGCATGCTCTGGTGGAACATGGGTAATATCTGAATTTTCTCTTCTGTGTGTGTGTGTGTGTGTGTGTGTGTGTGTGTGTGTGCTTGTCTTGCTATCCTTGTGAGGACTATAAGTCCTCACAGTGATACGACACCATGGCATTTAGGCTCAAGTGAGGACGTTTCACCACAGATTACACTGTTTAGGAAAAACTAAAAGAGCAGAAAGTTGCCTTTTGGATGCTGAAGTTGAGGTTTGGTTTAGGTTTAGGGTTAGGTTTAGGGTTGGATACTGATGTTAAGGTCAGGGTTATGTTTAGGGTTAGGTTTAGGGTTAGGTTTAGATTTGGATACTGAGGTTAAGCTCAGGGTTAAGTTTAGGTTTGGATGCTGAGGTTAATGCTAGGGTTAGGTTTAGGTTCGGAATTAGGGTTAGGTTTAGATTTGGATACTAAGGTTAAGGTCGGGGTTAGCTTTAGGTTTAGGTTCGGATGCTGAGATTAAGGTCAGGGTTAGGTTTGGATACTGAGGTTAGGTTTAGGGTTAGGGTTATGTTTGGATACTGAGTTTAGGGTTTGGTTTAGGTTTGGGGCTGAGGTTAAGATCAGGCTTAGATTTGGGCTTAGGGTTAGGTTTAGGTTTGGATGCTGAGGTTAATTTTATGGTTAGGTTTAGATTCAGAATTAGGGTTCGGTTTAGATTTGGATACTGAGGTTAAGGTCGGGGTTAGGTTTAGGTTTGGGACCTGAGGTGAAGATCAGGGTTAGGTTTGGGTTTGGATGCTGAGGTTAAAGTCAGGGTCAGGGTTAGGTTTGGATACTGAGTTTAGGTTTAGGGTTAGCTTTAGGTTTGGATGCTGAGTTTAGAGTTAGGTTTAGGTTTGGGATTAGGGTTAGGTTTATGTTCAGATACTGAGGTGAAGATCAGGGTTAGGTCTAGGTTTGGATGATGAGGTTAAGGTCAGGGTTAGGCTTAGGTTTGGATACTCAGGTTAGGTTTAGGGTTAGCTTTAGGTTTGGATTCTGGGTCTAGCGTTAGTTTTAGGTTTAGGGTTAGGTTTGGTTACTGAGTTTAGGGTTGGGTTTAGGTGTAGGTGTAGTATTATGTAGCTACAGTAATACAAAAATCAATAGAAACCCATGGAAGTCCCTGACAAGTATAGCAAGACAAATGTGTGTGTGTGTGTGAGTGTGTGTGTGTGTGTGAGTGTGTGTGTGTGTGTGTGAGTGTGTGTTTAGGAGCAGAATGCAGACTGTAGCTCTTTAAACGCAGCGCGTCGTTGTTCCCGCTCCTCCTCCACCCTCTTCTTCTCCTCCTGCTCCTCACGAAGCTCCTCCTCGAACTTGCTGCGCACAGACAGAGCCTGAGCCTAACACAGAAATGGCTTCGTTAGATCAGGTTCTATACATATTAAATAAACAGCACTTAAAAATCACGCTGTTAACAGAGAAGAGCAGATCAGGCGACAGAAACAGCCACAGTTTTGCTCAGCCTTAAAGAGCTCAACTGTTATTGTCCTTTTAAATCACACTTTCAGAGCTTTCTTGTAACAAACCTAAGCATAAAAATACAAAATACATTTAAAAACGTATTTATTGGTACACCGTTTGTCTTATAGCTCACAAAGATGTGCACTTTCTCTTCCACAGGACGTCCACTGTCTGTCTGAAGTGTGTTAACAGAATAGGATATTAGCACACACTGTTGGAAATGAAGGTTCTGTGCAGGAACATTTCTCGTTCATCAAGGTACAAACAATGTAAATGTTCCCTCAAAGCTACAACAGTGGTTTTAAGGTCTGATTGTGAACCTTAAATGAGTTTTTCCAGGTGAAAAGTTCGTATTCGTACCTTTTCATAACCGAATGATTTAAACAGAACAGTAAAATAAAAGCCTGGAGACGAGACGGGGTGTGTGGAGTCAGTACAGCTTAGAACATATCATTACAGTGGATTATGGTTCAGTTATGTTCCCTGACTAAAGGCACTGAGATGGACCCTTGAGGGTCCCACCCCTGTGACAAAAGGGGCACTGACCCAGTGACAGTTTACTACCTTTATATCTTAGGGTGTAGCTGTTTTACGTTATTTAAACCGTTTTCTTTCTTAATTAAAATGTGACAGTGGAGGAAAAGCAGTACTGCCATATTTACAAACACAAAGAGGAGCCAAGGTGACCCCAAACTTTTGACAGACAAGTGTACAATACATAGCAAAGTCTATTTAAAGTAGCAGACGTTGCATTTCCTTTCTGTCGCCACTAGAGGGAGGCAGATGGGCAAGTTGAGAATATGTTCAGACACCAGAGGGCGCGCAAGAGACAGAGGCCAAAATGAATGAGGCCCTGTGGAGCTTTTACGCAAAACTGCAGTTTGTAAATGTTATTAAAAAAAACAACAAAAAAATTATTTTGTCCTCACGGAAAACAGAATAACATAAAATTTTAAAATACTGATTGTTATTGTGCTAAATGCTTTTTTACTGATACAGTTTTCAGTTTTTATTGATTTTTAAATGTAATACTTGCCTCTGCTCCTGCGGGAATGAGTTTAAAGGGCCAATATCATGGAAAACCTCATTCATATACATATATAATATATATATATATATATATATATATATATATATATATATACACACATATGTGTGTGTGTGTATAGATAGATACATAGATAGATAGATAGATAGATATGTATTTAGAACAGTTTGGTGTTCAGCCTACAGTAAGTTGCCTCTCCCCCCATTCAAGCTTTAGTTTTGAGGGATGTTTCAGCCCAGACTGATTTTTTCGGCATTATACAGGACAACCAATCAGAACAGAGCTCATTTACATATATGAGTCTTAAAGGCACAGTAACAGAAGCAGCCTGTTGAACTCTAAGGGATGAGTCAGGGTGTAAAATGGCCATATAAATATGAAGTATGGCAGTTTGTGGTACATAAAACCACACATATGTAAGTTGGAACTCAGGAAAAATGATAATAAAGAATAATAGTAAAAGTAAAATGTTCAGCTGTTTTCAGTCCAGTTCACCGAGGACTCTCTCGTGGGCCCTCTGCTGTCTGCAGTCTTGTTTTTCTCTCTCTCTCTCTCTTTCTCTCTCTCTCTCTCTCTATCTCTCTCATTCACACACACACCTTGGCCTCGAAGAATTCCCGCGCTCCTCGCACGCCCTCCGTCGAGACATTGATCTCTGAGAGGCGAGCGAGAGCCATCAGACCACTCTCCTCCTGCAGCTCGCCTGCAGCAGCCCTGCGGAAGATCAGGAGGAACTGAGAAAGAGAGAGAGACAGAGAGAGAGAGAGAGAGAGACAGAGGAAGAGAGAGAGAGAAAGAGAGATAGAGAGAGGGAGACAGAGGGAGAGAGAGACAGAGAGAGAGAGAGAGAGAGACAGAGAGACAGAGAGAGAGAGAGATGTGTCAGTGTGTCATGAAATCTCAAATTTAACCATGAAATTCATTCTGAAATCGCTTTATTTGCAGACGATTCAAATTAATTTCTGAACAGATTCCAAATAGACAGAAACTCTTTTAGGGAATTTTATTTTAGCCTAAACTGAGCAGATACTTCACTGAATATTATTCTAACCTGGAGTGATCAATCCTAACATTCCACAGTCGATGCACCTTCAGATCATCACACTCTCACATTATCACCTCAACCTGCCTCTCTCCCCCCACTGACTGACCGAGATCAGACAGAGCAGAACTCTGATTAATCACAGACTGACCTCAGATCACATTACAGAGAGAGACATTACAGCAACAGAGAGAGAGAGAGAGAGAGAGAGAGACATTACAGCAACACAGAGACAGAGAGAGAGAGACATTACACCAACACAGAGACAGAGAGAGAGACAGAGAGAGAGAGAGAGAGAGAGAGAGAGAGAGACACACATTACACCAACCCAGAGACAGAGAGAGAGAGACATTATACCAACCCAGAGAAAGAGAGAGAGAGACATTACCAAATTAGTCACTCCTCAAACTATAATTATTTAGGCATCAAAAGCTCTTCATGTAATTTTCATCAGGCAGTGAATGAACTGAGAGAAAAAGCTCGCAGGGCTTTCTTTGCCATAAAACGACAAATTTTTGTAGAAATTCCAATCAGAATTTGGCTTAAAATATTTGAGTCAGTAATTGAACCAATTGCCCTTTATGGCAGTGAAGTGTGGGGTCCGCCAACTAATCAACAATTCAACAAATGGGACAAACATCCAATTGAGACTCTGCAAGCAGAATTTTGCAAAAACATTTTAAAAGTACACAGAAACACCACCAACAATGCATGCAGAGCAGAATTAGGTCAATACTCATTCATTATAACAGTACAAAAAAGGGCAATCAAATTTTGGATGTACCTGAAAAATAGCGACCCCCCCCCCACTCATATCATTATAAAGCTCTGCAGTACCAGGAGCTGAGCAAGGACAACAGCCCCCTCACTCAGCTGGTCCTGAACTACACACTAACACACACTAACACACACTAACACTCACTAACACACACTAACACACACTCACACACACTACACTCACTAACACACACTCACACACTACACACACTAACACACACTCACACACACTAACACTCACTAACACACACTCACACACACTAACACACACTCACACACACTAACACTCACTAACACACACTCACACACACTAACACACACTAACACACACTCACACACACTAACACTCACTAACACACACTCACACACACTAACACACACTCACACACACTAACACTCACTAACACACACTCACACACACTAACACACACTCACACACACTAACACTCACTAACACACACTCACACACACTAACACTCACTAACACACACTAACACACACTCACACACACTAACACACACTCACACACACTCACACACACTAACACACACTAACACACACTCACACACACTAACACACACTCACACACTAACACACACTAACACACACTCACACACACTAACACTCACTAACACACACTCACACACACTAACACACACTCACACACACTCACACACACTCACACACACTAACACTCACTAACACACACTCACACACACTAACACACTAACACACACTCACACACACTCACACACACTCACACACACACTCACTAACCACATCACACACTAACACACACTCACACACACTCACACACACTAACACTCACTAACACACACTCACACACACTAACACTCACTAACACTCACTAACACACACTCACACACACTAACACACACTCACACACTCACACACACACACACACTAACACACACTCACACACACTAACACACACTCACACACACTCACACACACTAACACACACTCACACACTCACACACACTCACACACACTAACACTCACTAACACACACTCACACACACTCACACACACTAACACACACTCACACACACTAACACTCACTAACACACACTAACACACACTCACACACACTAACAATCACTAACACACACACACACTAACACACTAACACTCACTAACACACACTAACACACACTCACACACACTAACAATCACTAACACACACACACACTAACACACTAACACTAACACAAACTCACACACACTAACAATCACTAACACACACTCACACACACTAACACACACTAACATACACACACTAACACACACACACTAACACACACTCACACACACTAACACACACTCACTAACACACACTCACACACACTAACACTCACTAACACACACTCACACACACTAACACTCACTAACACACACACACTAACACACACTAACAATCACTAACACACTAACACTCACTCACACACACTAACACACACTAACACACACTAACACTCACTAACACACACACACACACTAACACTCACTCACACACACTAACACACACACACACTAACACTCACTAACACACACTCACACACACTAACACACACACACACACTAACACACACTCACACACACTAACAATCACTAACACACACTAACACTCACTCACACACACTAACACACACTAACACTCACTAACACACACACACTAACACTCACTCACACACACTAACACACACACACACACTAACAATCACTAACACACACTAACACTCACTAACACACACTCACACACACTAACACACACTAACACTCACTAACACACACTAACACACACTCACACACACTAACACACACTAACACTCACTAACACTCACTAACACACACTCACACACACTCACACACACTAACACTCACTAACACACACTAACACACACTCACACACACTAACACACACTAACACACACTAACACTCACTAACACACACTCACACACACTAACACACACTAACACTCACTAACACTCACTAACACACACTAACACACACTAACACTCACTAACACACACTAACACACACACACACACACTAACACACACTAACACACACTAACACTCACACACACACACACTAACACTCACTAACACTCACTAACACACACTAACACACACTAACACTCACTAACACACACTAACACACACACACACACACTAACACTCACTAACACACACTAACACACACTAACACTCACTAACACACACTCACACACACACTAACACTCAACAGACTCAGGACCAGAAAAACACAACCAATCTGATCAGAATTAACCAAATTACAGAACATCTGAGAGAAAAACACAGAGACTATTGGGAAACTCAAACAAAATCACAAAGTAAAATGCAGTGTAATCTGGCCCTAAAAAGACAGTACACTGTGGCAGAGACCCTGAGCCCAGTGACTGATCTGAGACTGAGGACCACCCTGACGAGGTACAGACTCAGTCAGCATAGTCTGGCTGTCGAGACCGGCAGGCACAGGAGGTCCTGGCTGCCTCAGGAAAAAAGAACAGGCCAGCAATGTGAACAGAATAAAACAGAGACAGAGCTGCACTTCCTGACTGAGCTCCCGAAATTCACTTTCACGAGACGAGATCCACAAAGAGTTCTTTACAAACATCAACAACAAAGATCCCACATTTACCAGCCTCTCTAACACAGAGACACTGCTGTATCTGTTAGGGGAGCACAGAGAGTACATCCTGACCTGCCCCCATGAGAGGGACAGTGAGTGACCATGTCTCACATACACACACACACACACACACACGCGCACGCACAAATACACGTTTGTTTTTCATGCATAGACTATTGTTCTATTTTATTGTATCCTGCCTTTTTAAAATTACAGCTCTACAACTTAGCAATTTTGCAATGTTTAATATGTTAAGATCAAAAAGAGGGAGAGAGAAAGAGAGAGAGGGAGAGAGAGAGAGAGAGAGAGAGAGAGGGACAGAGAGAGAGAGAGAGGGAGAGAGAGAGAGAGAGAGAGGACAGAGAGAGAGAGAGAGAGGGAGAGAGAGAGAGAGAGGGACAGAGAGGAGAGAGAGAGGTGGAGAGAGTGTAATCTTATCCGTATGGAATGCCTCGATCAGGAGAAAGACAGAGCCCGACACACACAGCAGAGCCACTGTGCTCCACACACACCTGTGCTTATTCCCTGTAAGTGTGTGAGCGTGTGAGAACACACTGTTCGCTCTCCACTCTATACAGCCTATATATGGAAACTAAGCACAAAAAGTACCACATATTCATGCACTACGTAGACAAAAGTATTGGGACACCTCCACATTACACTACAGGAGCTTTTATGACTCCCATTCTAAATCCCATAGGCATTAATATGGAGATGGTCCCCCTTTGCAGCTCTAACAGCTTCCACTCTACTTCTACCCAAACTGTTACTGCAGTGCTGAGAATGACCCACCACCCAAATAATACCTGCTCTGTGGGGGTCCTCTGGGGGCTGACCACTGAACAGGGTAACAGAGAACAGAGTGTGCAGAGAACAGATGATCTACAGGAACAGATGGACTGTGAAACTATATGGTCAGTGGAGCTGATAAAGTGGTCAGTGAGTGTAGATATGAGGACGTGGTCCTCGTGCAGTGCTGGGTGAGTGTGTGTTCAGCTGGGATCTGAACTGACTTCATACACACCTCTCTGAAGCTGAGCTTGCCGTCGTAGTCCTCGTCCACCTCTCGGATCATGCTCTTCAAGCCCAGGTGAGTCTGAGGAGCTCCCAGCTTCTCCATCATCATCTTCAGCTCCATCAGGTCGATGAAGCCGTCCTTACCGGAGTCGAACCTGCAGAACAGGCAGAGCTGGATTCACATCACACATCCAATGAAGAGCCAGTTCAGCTACTCTGAGGGCACACACTCTACTCAACTGCTCACAGTTTGTATGATCTGCACAGAAAAGCGTTGAGCGATAGAGAACGAAAGGGACGCTCTGGAGAGGCCGGACGGTCACCGTGCCCAACGCCACGTGTGGGCTGGAGGGGTCTAAAGCCCCCCAGCATTGGGCTGTGGAGCAGTGGAACTGTGTTCTCTGGAGTGATGGAGCTCCATCCAATACCTTTGGGATGAGACGGAGTGATCCAGAACCGTCCAACAAAGGGGAGAGAGAGAGAGAGAGAGAGAGAGAGAGAAAGAGAGAGGAGAAAGAGGGGGGAGAGAGGGGAGAGAGGGAAATGCAAATGAGAGAGAGAGGCAGAGAGAGAGAGAGAGAGAGAGAGAGAGAGAGAGAGAGAGAATGAGAGACAGGAATAAGAGAGAGAAAGGAGAGAGACAGAGAAAGAGAGAAATACAAAGGAAAGAGACAGACAGAAAAAGAAAGCAGAGATAGAAAAGAGAGATGGGGAACACAAAGGAGGACAGAGAGACAGAGAAATAGAAAGGAGAGAGAGAGTGAGTGAGTGAGTGAGTGAGTGAGAGAGAGAGAGCCAGCAGGAGATTCTATTTTGGTTTGAGTGGGATCTCTTTCTCTCTCCTCCTTTCTCTCTCTCTCTCTCTCTCTCCTCCTTTCTCTCTCTCTGTCTCTCTCTCTCTGTCTCTCTGTCTCTCTCTCTCTCTCTTATCAGCATGTGTTGAATGGGAGTTCTAATCTCGTTTGTGCAGAGCGACCACATTGTTTCAGAAAGGCAGTTACCATAACTGTCAATCAGACGTCAGCCAATCAAGCGGCACAGGTCAGTCAAAGCCACACCCACTTGATTCAATCAGAAACAACCTATGGGATGTGTGTGTGTGTGTGTGTGTGTGTCCCTCTCTGGCTCTCCCACACATCCTGCAACAACTGCTGACCAGAGCAACTAAACACCTAAAACACACACACACACACACACACACACACACACACACACTGACACATACAGTCCAAAACACAAGTGCAAAAAACACCCACACTGCTCTCTGCCCTAGACATAATTGTGGGCATGCTGAGTGTGTGTGTGTATGGATGTGTGTGTGTGTGTGTTCTCTTTGTACTCTCTGTTTTCCTGCTGTGGTATTTATAGATGCCAAGGCTTTGGGGCATTGAGCGCTGGCCTTCAGTCCACTGCAGCACACACACACACACACACACACACCACGACAATCCATCTAGTTCTAATATCAGACTGAGAATGAGCAGAAATCAGAGACCCCCTTTAGTTAATTTCATTTCCAATCAAAACTGGCATTCAGTACAAGTTCTTCTTTTTTCAGGAGATGTTTCTGAGATCAGATATCAGATCATCCACTATCATAACGAAGGAGAAAGTCAGAGTGGAAAAACACAAAATGGGGCTCCTAACAACCACCTGGAAGAGCTGGTAGACCCCAAAACTGCCCCCGTCAGATAAACAGCACTTAAAGCTTTCATCTCTGAGAGAGAGGAGAAAATCAAGCTGCTTCAGATCTGAAAACATCCACAGGTGTTTCTATCCATCCTTCCACTGTGAGAAGACGACTCAGCGCTGTGGGTCTGAAAGGATGTGTAGCTGATCAAGAAGAACCTCACTGAGAAAAGGAGACGGACACACCAAACAAAGAAGCTGAACGATGGACTGACCACCCCAGAGTCCAGACCTCAACACCACTGAATGTGTTTGATTACTTCAGAAAATGATCAACCAGCTTCTAAGACTGAACTTTGGAGGTGTGTCTGCAGATTCTTTGAGGAACTGAAAGTGAGTCTCCTGAAAAGAAGGGAAGATGGGAGAGAAAAGAGAGAAAGAGAGAGAGAAATAGAGAAAAAAGAGAAAAGAAAGAAAGAGTGAGAGAAATAGAGAGAAAAGAGAAAGAAGAAAAAATAGAAAAATAGAGAAAAACAAAAAAGGAGAGAGAGAGAGAGAGAAATAGAGAAAAAGCAAAGAGAGAAAGAAATAGAGAGAAAAGAGCAAGGAGAAAGAAACAGAAAAATAGAGAAAAACAAAAAAGGAGAGAAAGAGAAGGAAGAGGAAGAAGAGAAAGAGAGACAGAAATAGAGAAAAAAGAAAGGAGAGAACTAGAGAAATAGAGAAAATGATAAAGGAAAGAAAGAGAGAGAAATAGAGAGAAAAGAGAAAAGAAAGAAAGAGAGAAAAAAGAGAAAGGAGAGAGAAAGAAAAAAGAAAGGACAAAAAGACAGATATATAAAGAAGAGAAAGCAGAGAAAGAGAGTGAGAAAAAGAGGAAAAAGAGAAAGAAGAGAGAAAGAAACAGAGAAAACAGAGAAAGGAAAGAAAGAGAGAGGGAAATAGAGAGAGAAACGAAAGAGTCCGAGACAAAGAGAGACAGAACAAGAGAGAGTGGGAGAAATAGAAAAATGTGAGAAAGAGGAAAAAAGAAAAAGAAAGTTCTGAAATGAAAGAAGAAGAGAGAAAGAGAAAAAAGTGAGAGAGACAGAGTGAGAGAGATAGAAAATGACAGGGAAAATAATGAGAGAGACAGAAAAGTGTAGTGTAGTGATGTAGAGTGAGGTTGGCGTGTCGCTGCCCACTGCATGCCTGACGCATTCCAGCTCATCACTCCTCCCTAACACACACACACACACACACACACACACACACACACACACACACACACACACACTCACTCACTCTCTCTCTCTCTCTCTCTCCCTCTCTCTCTCTCGATCAGGAGTAATTCACACACAGATGAGGGTGAAAGTGACCATGGAAACCCAGGAGGCCCGACAGGAGGAGGAATCTAGGACAGACTGTGTGTGCGTATTTGAGTGTGTGTGTGTGTGCATATGTGAGTGTGTGTGTGTGTGTGTGTGAGTGTGTGTGTGTGTGTGTGTGTGTGTGTGTGTCCTGAATGCTGAGATTGTTTTTTTATGAATGATATGTCAGGATTAGAGGGAGAGCGGGGCTCAAACTAACACCGCGCAAAATCCTGCATTGTTCTTTATTATTTTCTCTGATTTCTCTAATTACACAGTTCACACCAAAAACACTCATAACTCAGTTTCACTCGCCTGTTTTCCAGCCTCTATTTATCCCCTACAACCACAAACTTCATCTTACTGTGCCTTTCAGAATGATACATGTAAATGAGCTGTGTCCTGATTGGCTGAGCCTCGTTCAAAAAGCAGTCCGGGTTGAAACACTCTGTATAACTTCGGCGTGAGTGGGCGGGGCTACAGTGCTGTAGGCCGAACAGGTGATTATACACTATATGGACAAAGTATTGAGTTCCGGTGTTTCAGCCACACCCACTAATAACAGGTGAATAAAATTAAGCACACTTGCAGCCTCGACAGACAAACACTGGCAGTAGAGGGTCGTACTGAAGAACTCAGTGACTTTAAACATGGCTCTGTCATAGGATGCCACCTCTGACACAAGTCTTCCGTCCTGCTAGATCTGCCCCAGACAACTGTAAGTGCTATTACTGTGAAATGGAAGCACCTTAGAGAAACAAGCACGGTGTAAAGCGCCGCCACTGGACTGTGGAGCAGTGGAAATGTATTCTGTGGAGTGACGAATCAGCTTCTCTATCTGTCAGTCTGATGGACGAGTCTGGGTTTGGAGAACGTTACCTGCCTGACTGCACTGTGCCAGCTGTACAGTTTAGTGGAGGAGGGATGATGCTATGGGGCTGTTTTTCAGGGGTTGGTCTAGAACCCTTAGTTCCAGTGAAGGGAAATCTTAATGCTTCAGCAAAACAAGACATTCTGGACAATTGTACACTTCCAACTTTGTGGGAACAGTTTGGGGAAGAACCTTTCCTGTTCCAGCATGACTGAGCCCCAGTGCACAAAGCAGCTCCATAAAGTCATGACTGGGTGAGTTTGGTGTGGAAGAACTTGACTGGCCCTCACAGAGCCCTGACCTCAACCCCATCAAACACCTTTAGGATGAACTAGATCTCATCTTGGTGGCTCTTATATAGAACTGCAGATGAAGAGCTCACAGTGAGAGCTATCCAGGCTAAAGTACGGCCTCCACACGGGGGGGTTAGTTCAACACGCTGTTACAACTAAGACCCCCAAAGTAAACTCCATATCCACACATATAAATTCGACAGTTAATCTTTACTGCATATTCTCAAAACATGCTACAGATGTTGTGTAAATTATATATCGCTTCTGTCAGAACAAAACCTCGTATCTCCAAAATGGTAACTTTAGAGGAGAAGGAAAAAACATACTTTTCCTTTAATGTAAGTCAATGGAACCAGATGTCTTTCCAAGTAATTTTGGGCTGTTTTTTTTGTCCATTCATCATGAAATTTACACACAATGTAAAGGACAGTAGGTATTTTCAAATTATGCCAAAACTGAAAAATGACAAAAATGGAGATACAAGGTTTTCTGCCGTCAGCAGCGACGTATTTCAATTTTATCATGCTGTTTTTTGCTGTTGTACCTGTTGCACATTTGACAGAGTCTCTTTTCACAGAACATATTTATATGTATTTCACTTATTTCAGCTTGACATCATAACAACAGCAGAACCCTTGTTGGTGCTTTATAGAACCCCTTTCAAGAAGGATCTATATAGAACCATATACAACATATTCTCCATCAATCAGAAGAACCATTTCACCATGCAAAGAACCAATTAAGCATGCAAACGGTTCTTGGAGTCTTCATGGTTCTAAATAGAACAACTGTCTTTACTAAAGAAACTTGAAGAACTTTTTTAAGAGTGTAGTGAATGTCTAGACCCTCTGTCTGTTGCCCTTAACCCCCCCTGCCAATGGGGTCAGCTGTAACATTTGCACTCCACTCTCGGCTGAACTGGTCATTAATGGTCAGTGCTGGACGCAAAGTTTACCTTTGCTTTTGTAGTTGAGATGTGGACGGGCAAATGTTGCACTTTTAAACATAATTTGGCAAAAAAAAAAAAGAACCAAAGTTTTGCGCCCCGCTCTCCCGTACACTGAGTACTGAGTAGAGAGAGAGAGAGAGAGAGAGAGAGACTGTAAATGAGAATACATTAAGCACAGAACAGAACTGAGGTGTTTCTGTCAGTCTGCATATTTGATGCACATTTAAAAGCTCTTTAAAAAGTGATACTGAATCTGTGCCCATCTTGCATCTGACCCATTTTCCTGTTATCTGTGTCACGGTTTTCCTCTCCGGCTAAAACTGAGCGGAACAGGGCTGAAATGGGCCAAAGAGAACGAAATGTTTCTGATTGAAGCACAGGATGGAGAAAGGGACATTTTTCAAGCCTGAGTCCAAGCCTACATTCCAATTCTGGAAAAAAGTCCAATACTGTGTTTGGATGCCTGAAAAGAGAGAATCCACCACTGCATTAAGACTTCAGAAAAGAGAGAATCCACCACTGCATTAAGACTTCAGAAAAAAAGAGTCCAGGTCTGCATTCCCATTCTGGAAAAGAAAGAGTTCAGCCCTGTGTTCCAGCTCTAGAAAAGAAGGAGTTGTCACTGCATTCCAATTCCGGAAAGGAAAGAGCCCTGCCCTGTATTCTACTTCTGGAAAAGTCAATACCTGCATTCCAACTCCTGAAAAGTCCAACTTTGCATTCTAGTTTTGGAAAAGAGTGAGTCCAGTCCTTCATTTCAAATCCAGAAAAGAAAGAGTCCAACATGGTGTTGTAATTCTAGAAAAGAGAGAGTTTATTCCTGCATTCCAATACTAGAAAAGGAGTCCACCTCTGTGTTCTAAATCTGGACAAGAAAGAGTCCAGCCCAGCATTCCGATTCTGGAAACGGAATAGTCCATTCCAGCATTCCAACTCTAGAAAAGAAGAACTTCAACTTTGTCTTCCAATTCTGAAAAAGAGAGTGTCCAGCACTTCATTCCAAATCCAAAGAAGAAAGAGTGCAACACTGTGTTCTTATTCGGGAAAAAAGAGAGAATCTATTCCTGCAGTCCAAATTTGTGTTCTAATTCTGGGCAAGAAAGAGTCCAGCCCATTGTTCCGATTCTGGAAAAGAAAGAGTCCATTCCTGCATTCCAACTCCAGAAAAAAAGAATTCCAACTTTGTCCCCTGTATTTCAATTTTACAAAGGACAGAATCCAGCTTTGTTTTCTAATTCTAATTCTCTAAAAGTATCCAGCCAAGTGTTCAGATTCCGGTAAAGAAAGAGGCCAAGCTTGCATTTTGGAAAAATAGCTGTGCATTCTGATTACGAATTTTAGAGAAAGAGCAATGCATTCCAGTTCTGGAGAAAAGAGAGTCCAGCTCTGTGTTCAGACTCCAGAAAAGAAAGAGTCCATTCCTTTTATCAGACTCCAAAGTCTAAGTTTACGATTCTGGAAAAGAAGGAACTTAGGAATTCTGGAAAATAAAGAGTGCAGTCTTGCGTTTCAATTTTGGAACAGAAACGGAGCAGCTCTGCATTCCGATTCTGGAAAACACTCCAGACTCCAGCCCTGCGGCCCAGCTCTGGATTCTTGATATGAAAGAGTCCTTTACTCTTTTTAGTGTGTGATTTCCCGAGAGGAATTTGGGATTTTCATCACAGTGCTAGGGCGATGAGTGATCCTTGTCAGCTACTCAGGATTTCTATTTGAAGCCAGTCTTGCAAGCCAGATTTCTGTCTATCAACAGCAGCATTTTATAGGCTTTACCACTTAAAGTAACCAACGACTGCCTCCTTTTGACATGAAGAAAATGTACACTTTCACCTAAACACAAAAGATCATTTGTAATGGCTATTGCACTTTATTTGAGAATTAATCCTTTTGCTCCTTTCTTTCCACTGAAGAGCCCATATCCAACATTTTTCTTGTGATTAAAAATTTTCCTGACTGTCAAAACACAGTCATAATTCATTTCTACAAGACCATTTTTCCGACCTCTCTTCAACCCTCAGAACAAAACAGGCTGATTTTCTTGCTGTGCCTTTAAGACAGAAATGTGCAAATGACCTCTGGTCCCCTGATTGGTTGACATATATTGTTTTTTTTTTTTTTCAAAAAGCATCCAAGGCCAAAACACTCAACCTACTGAAAAATGTTCAGCGAGAGTGGGTGGGGCTAGACTGGACTGTAGACTGAATAGATAGGTATATGCAAATATACAGGTTTTGTGACATCACTGAAGCAATGAATTCAATTAAGCTTTTTTAGCAGCTTCGTTTCCATAAATGGGCTGCGTGTATACGGACTGAGGAGTGAATGATACATTTTTTAAACTTTAACAGTGTTTACATACCACATCAAGCTCTTCTACTGTAAAAAAGACAGAAAACGGAAATTTTCCGTTTTTTAAAGTTCCTTTAAAGTTATCTTGCAGGTCTATTTTTTCCAGTAATTTTTGCATTATTGCCAGAGTGTGGAGGCAAGACACTGTCTCCAAAGACACTTGTGCCCAGGGGCCTTGTGAGACCATGATCTATTGCTGCTTGTTAGCTGCATTAGCTTTATAGCTCCAGTTCAGAGCTAGAGGTGCAAACTTTGGACACTGAACGTGTCTTGGCGGAGACGGCACATCTGAAGTAAGAGGGGGAACTGTGTAAATTGGATCTTTCATTGAACCATCGCTAACTTAGTTCAGCGTAAATGCTCAGCTGGTTACCAGCGCTGAGGAGAGAACGGAGCCGTATTAGCATCAAACATGCACTTCATCACGGCCTTACGAGATACAGACTCAGCCTCACACACAAACATGAACACAAAGCTGGCATTGTCTGAGGTGGAGGGGGTGCCAGTGGGCACGCAAGTAGACCCTAGTGCTTCTGTAATGAGGACAGGAGGACAATGGGGCTGCAGAGAGAGAGAGAGAGAGAGAGAGAGAGAGAGAGAGAGAGAGAGATTGCCCTGGGAAAAAAGCATTATTCTGACCTGATCCATATGTAGGAAAACCATGCATGAGCTAATAGGTCAGTGAGAAGAGAGTCGACATTCAGAACACTTTTAAAAAAACTTTTTTTTCCTTAAATAATTCCAGCATTTTATAAAACATTCTGCATAATTCAGTGAGTGAGATGTAAACAGAGGGATTCAGAGTGTTTTGATGTGAAATGGTTCAGATTTGTTTACAGTGGTGGTGATAGGCACCAGGGGTCGCCATGACTACAACACAAATATGGACTTACTTACACTAAAGATCCCACTAAAGCCTGAGTGGACTGATAAATCAATGTGATCAGTTATTAATCTCAGTGTTACTGAGCTCTGCTAAAGCCTGAGTGGACTGATAAATCAGTGTGATCAGTTATTAATCTCAGTGTTACTGAGCTCTGCTAAAGCCTGAGTGGACTGATAAATCAGTGTGATCAGTTATTAATCTCAGTGTTACTGAGCTCTGCTAAAGCCTGAGTGGACTGATAAATCAGTGTGATCAGTTATTAATCTCAGTGTTACTGAGCTCTGCTAAAGCCTGAGTGGACTGATAAATCAGTGTGATCAGTTATTAATCTCAGTGTTACTGAGCTCTGCTAAAGCCTGAGTGGACTGATAAATCAGTGTGATCAGTTATTAATCTCAGTGTTACTGAGCTCTGCTAAAGCCTGAGTAGACTGATAAATCAGTGTGATCAGTTATTAATCTCAGAGTTACTGAGCTCTGCTAAAGCCTGAGTAGACTGATAAATCAATGTGATCAGTTATTAATCTCAGTGTTACTGAGCTCTGCTAAAACCTGAGTAGACTGATAAATCAGTGTGATCAGTTATTAATCTCAGCGTTACTGAGCTCTGCTAAAGCCTGAGTGGACTGATAAATCAATGTGATCAGTTATTAATCTCAGTGTTACTGAGCTCTGCTAAAGCCTGAGTAGACTGATCAATCAATGTGATTACCAGTTATTAATCTCAGTATTACTGAGTTCTATTAGAAAGCATATTGTATTATATTCTGACATAATTTATCACGATAACGCTTTGTATCGTCATATCGCTCAGCCCTACGCACACTCACACTCATGCGTCATCCACAGTGATGCACGCGCTCAGGCAGGCAGAGGTAACCCTGTATTAGTGATCATGCGCTGCACACTATTCAGCTTTTTTTCACAGACAGATCCTGACAGATCCCGCACGTGAGCTGACCGCAGCGCCTGCGTTAGTGACCCGCGCGCGTGTGCCCTTGCCCCTCACTCACCTTTTGAACATCTGCTCCATGTCTCTGATCTGCTTGCGGCTGAACTCCTTAAACTCGGTGTGCGGGTTGAACACGCGCGGCTGTCTGGGCGGCTCCGCGCGATCCTGCAGGTCCAGCCTGCGGTGCAGCTTCTCCGCGAGCTCGTCGGTCGCCATGGAGCGCGCGCGCGGCGGATCTGGCTGCAGCTGGTGTTCACAATGCTGCTGCTGCTGCTGCGAATAGAGGCTGAGGAGAAAAGGGGAGGGAGGAGGGCACACGCGCACACACACGCGCACAGGGGGGCGGGGCTAACAGGCTCCTCTCTCTCTCTCTCAGGGCTGCTTTATATCTGCACTGCCTTTTAGACCACGCCCCCCGCGGCCCAGGGCAAAAACGTGAGCGCGTCAGTGCGTATGAGGGCGCCTGCTGCGCGTGCATCAATGTGTCTGCGCATGAGGGCGTCTATATGCATCAAAACTGTTGGACACCCTATTATAAAGTCATGAATATAGCGGCTGTGACAGCCTCCTCCAGGGAAGCTGTCCACAGATTTTGGAGACTGTCTGTGGGAATTTGTACCCATTCAGTCTAAAGAGCGTTTGTGAGGTCAGGCACTGATGGTCTGGCTCACAATCTCTGTTCTAGTTCATCCCAAAGGTGTTCAGTGGGGTTGAGGTCAGGGCTCTGTGCAGCCCACTGGAGTTCCTCCACACCAAACTGGTCAGTCCATGTCTTCATGGAGCTGCTTTGTGTACAGGATCTCAGTCATGCTGGAACAGGAAAGGCTCTTCCCCAAACTGCTGACACAAAGCTGGAAGCAGTATAACTGTGTAAAATGTCTTTGTGCTGTAGCATCAACATCACCCTTCACTGGAACTGAGGGGCCTGAAAAACAGCCCAGCTCATCATCCCCTCCTCCACCAAACTTTACTGTGAGTACAGTGCATTCCGGTAGTTAACGTTCTCCTGGCATCCACCAAACCCCAGATTCATCCATCAGACTGACAGATAGAGAAGTGTGATTCATCACTCCAGAGAACAGAGTCCAGCGTGCTTTACACCCCTCCAGCCGACACTTGGCATTGCGCATAATGATCTTAGGCTCCAGTTCTTGTGCTGATGTTGTTTCTAGAGGGCAGGTTAGTGAGTGATTCAACAGAAGACAGGCGATTATGCACTCTGTGAGTTTGCATGGTCCACTGCTTTGTGGCTGAGCTAACCTAAATTTCCATTTTACAATAATAGCACTTACAGTTGTCTGGGGCAGATCTAGCAGCGAAGAAATTTCGCTGCTTGTGGCATTTGCGTCTTGATATAAGTAGTGCCCTTTTTTACTGTTTCTTTTGTTCATTTAATTTTTTGATAGGCTTGTCCGAGGTTTTTATCAAGGCCTCTATTATTACCTACTGTATTGTTATATTCGTTCATCATACTATATTTTATTATTTGGTCAGAGTTGGTGTCAGAGTGGTTGGTGGTGCCTAAGCTGGTTTTCGTTATGCAAAAAATGAATGATGTTTTTGAAAATCGTGACCTGCTGTGAACTAAAATGTTCCGAATGTTCTGTCCGGTCTACATCCCCCCACCTCCGAGTGTCACTGTTGCTCTTATGAGACTATTTAACAGTCAAAATGTGAATAATGCTATATTTACTACAAGCAAGCTAACAAACCTGCACACCAAACACCAGTTACTCAAACTGCAGCGTAAACCTGCCAAAGCAACTTCACTACCACACTGGACGGAGTGGTCACTCTAATGACGTCAGTTCAGTGCGCAGCAGTGCTAGCTTGCATGTAGCAATATTTATAGTTCAGCGCCTAAACAAACTCGTCATTGAGAGAAACCAGTGCAGAAAGAAGTTTGCACGGCAACGTCCTCCACCATGAATGGATTTTAGACCAAAACCTTCTCAAAGCTACAAACAGGCCTCATTCACCAATATCTTCCTAAGTTTGTTCTTAAATGAGTTTATGAGAAAGGTTCTACGAAAAAGTCTACGTCAGATTCATGACGCGTTCTTAAAGCGCAGAATTTGTGCTCTTGAGTGTGTGTAGATTCTGTTCTTGCCTATGAACAAATCCCAAATGGTGAATCTTCGTTAAAACTGCGCACGTGGGTTTTAAGATGAAATTTCTTCGTAAGATGAGGCCCAGTGTTTTCTCTAGATCAGAGACTTTCACAGCAAACCGCTCTCAGTGACTTTGTTTATATCTCAAAAATTGAATTATGCGGAAATTTTCAAAAATTTGAGGAATTCCCCTTTGATTTTTCATATTATTTTCATATACTATTGTCACTGACTGTCCTTCATAGGGTGGTACGCAATGATGAACGGTGCATTTCACTCTGATGAACCAGCGCAGTGATTCGCTGCTCTACTGCATTCAGAAACACTGAATTGTCAGTATAAGAAACACTGCTGACATTCAATCAGCTGATCAACCCTGAGAGATAAGATTAGGAGATAATAAAAAGAAATAGTAAAGAAAAGAGACAGTTGCGTTGGCCGGGAATCGAACCCGGGTCAACTGCTTGGAAGGCAGCTATGCTAACCACTATACCACCAACGCTTGTGAAATACGGCCGCTCAGTCCAATACGAAGGACTCACCACAGATCCACCCGTTTTAATCTTTAAATAGTGACTATATTCGCTCGGCCGTTCACCTCGTTACAAATTCCGATGCTCAATTATTCATTCTGTTTTCTTTCTTCACGAAACTGGACTCGGCTTCCTATTTGCCGGCTTCTTGTTCGCATTTCCCCGTTCCACCTTAAATGGTGCAGCAGTTAATGCTAAGCACCAGGCGCCAGAACGTAACTCCTGCACCATTTAAGGTGGAACGGGGAAATTCGAAAACGAAGCTGGCGAATAGGAAGCCAACTTCGTCCTCGTTTTAATTAAAGCCATTTTTATGTTTTATTGTGTAAAACATGAGCCCGTTTTAGAGTTCATAAACGCGGTTTTTGGTTTATAAGTGAAATATGAGCTGCTACCGTTAAGATACAGTGCAAAAATAACGTTAGCCCTCCACAGAACTGCTTTTAGGAACTGTATTAAACTGCTGATGTAGTGGTGAAATAATCTCTGACATGTGTACTATTATTTTCATTTTTAGGTGAAACCTGATAAAGAACAATACGTGTAATCTTTGAGAACTCAGATGGGACTACTTTGTTGCGCCGGACTCGTTTGGATGTTGTGGGTGGTGATGCGTCTTTTGCGTCATCGCTTTCCACGTTCCTCCGTCTCAGGCGGAAGAACACAGATAACTGAAGCTATAGCGGAAAGAGGGCCAAATCGTACCCTGTCAACATACCTGAGGGCTAAATTATTTTTCAGAAAATATTAAAAAATAGTAAGTTTTCAAAATATCAGCACAAAGAATCAGTTTTATACACTTTCCTATCACTGTGAAAAAGATATACCACTGGATCTTCCGAATTACGAGGTCGTTAAAGAGCTATAATGCTAATATAGCTACATGTGAGCTAAAGCTAAACTTGATGTCACTAAGGCGGGCTGTGGCGGAGCTCTGACGAGCTGTGTTACCTTATCAAAATGTTCTACCGTAGGGCATATTTACAGGTATACCCGTAAATAAAACCTCTGGGATATTTTGATAGGCTAAATCTCCTTGTCTAAAGTACTACCCCTGTTAAACCTACGAGGCTAAATTTAGCTTCTTTTTTCGCTGTTTCTTGTTTGAATGTTCCCGTTCCACCTTAAATGGTGCAGCAGCTGTGACTGTAACATTAGCAAACGAGACAAAATAATGACCTGTTAGTTTGGTGGAACAGCAAAAATAAGTTACTGTTACTCAGCTGTTAAGCGTTAATAGTGAAACCTCCTCATATCAGGCCTTTCCACCCTCCATGACATCAAAATGACACCAACATCAAAAAGGTGTGGATGGATGGAATAAAAAAGCACTTAACTACATTGATGAAAATCTGCGTGTGTAACGTTAACGTTCTTATGGAGTACTTTTATTCATTATTATTTTAAAAAATCAAGTCTAGATGGACAAATGAAGTCAGCTTCTTTTTCGCCGGCTGCTTGTTCGAATTTCCCCGTTCCACCTTAAATGGCACAGCAGTTCAGAACATGACTGCTGAACCATTTAAGGTGGAACGGGAAAAGTCAAACAAAAAGCTGGCAAATGTCCTCAGAAAAATGTCCTCAGAAAAATGTTACCAGCATTAAAATAATAATCAGGATATTCTGATAGCCTAAATCAGTTTATCAGCAGTATTAAGCTGAGTCTGTACTGGATCAGCCTGAGTGCAGTATGTTTGTAGATCTTTTCAAATCAAGCTAAAAGGAAAGATCTGTCGTGTTTCACTGAGCATCAGGTGAAGAACAGAGAACCGCAAGGAAACCTGCTGATTCTGTTCTGACTTCTTTTCATTTCCCCTCAGTCTGAACATGGAAATGTACACTGACAAAGCCGGATTAAGGAGGCTGCCATTCTAATGACATGAATTCAGTGTGCAGTGTTCATGTGTGCAGTGTTCATATTTCAACTCTTTAACGACCTCGTAATTCAGAGGATCCAGTGATATTTGAGAGGAGAATGTTCACAGGACAAAATGTATCGGGTTCTGAATATTTGTATTTAGCACAGGGGGCGCTAGAGGCGATTTTTTGAAAACCCTATTCATTCTGGCCATAGAGAAGTAGAGCTCATACCCGGAGTTCCTAATATGGGCATAAGAATATGGCGCCGACTACAAAATGACTACACGACTACAGTGGTCTACAGAAAAATGGAGCTTAGAACCGGAGTTCCTAATATGGGCCGATCTTAGGACACCTCTGGGCTAACACATAGAGTAGATGACCATGAAAAATTGTTTTAAATAAAAAAAAAACCTGAAGAATTCTTTTAAACTCTGATGTGTACAAAATGTCCTCTTTTAAAATGTTACAGTGCAAATATTACCCCCATACACCCTCAGAAAAGATGGTTCTTCAAGGGTTCTTTAGTAAAGCAATGCTCTGTATAGAACCATGAACACTCAAAGAACCATTTGCATGCTTAAATGGTCCTTTGCATGGTGAAATGGTTCTCTATCAGCCACAGAGCAGCCTGCATACCACACCAAGATGCCATATGTAAGTATGCTTTATACAGAGCAGTGATAGAAGAACACCAGAAGCTGCTTGGACA